AACACGATGCCCTCACTCTCCTCCCCAGCGACGCCCATCTCACTCACCACGCGCCCATCCCCGGCCGTCGGATACCCCTTCCCCACCAAGTCCCCCGGCTCCTCCTGATCACCCTTCTCGTCGCGATCATTCCCGCCACTCCCCCCATTCCCCCCGCTACCACCCCCCTCCCGATCCCGATCCCCCCCCTCACCCGCCGGCGCATCCGGCAAACTCACATAGACATAACTCCAGACGACGGAGCTGCCGTTGCGGGGCGCCAGGGGAAACGCGGCGGGGCTGCTGGTGAAGAAGGTGACCACGGCGGAGAGGTTGGGGTTGTGGGCGGCGACGGCGTCGAAGTACCACCATTCGAAGGCGCTGGCGTTGACGGCGGAGAGTTTCGGGGCGGACAGCTCGGAGAGGAAGGGGGTCGGGGCGTGGTAGGTGGCGGTGATGGGGGTGTTGGTGGGCAGCGGGAGGGCGGGGATCGGGGAGATGTATTGGCTGTGGACTTGCGGGAGGAGGGTCGGGGTGAGGAGGAGGAGGAGGAGGGGGAGGAGGAGGGGGATGCTGAACGGTGGGATTGGGAGGGGCATTTTTGATGATGTGATTGGGATTTGGAGGATATTTGTAATGGTGTTGGTGTTGGTATGGGTATGCGTCTGGGTCTGATAGAGAGAATGGGCGTATGTTATATAGTGAAAAGAGGATCGACTCCAATTCATTGGGATACAATGCACAGCACAGCACAGCACAGCCAAGTCACGGAGAAACCTATGCGGATCTACTTGGGCCGAGTCGAGTCGCACCACCACCACCACCACCACCACCACCACCACACTCGATGCTGGTGCCCGTGTTCCACACGCCAACGGAGCAAGGAATCATAAGACACAAAATGAGAGCTCATATCTCCATATCCTATGCAAACAACAAGTCCCAACGCTCCGAAACTAACCCAACAGAAAATCGCTCTACTTACATACCACATACGTATACACACAACGAACAAAACCCATCGCTGAATGCCAACCCAACAGACAAATCCCGTCCCAGTCCCAGTCCCAGTCCCCGGCCCGCAATGAAACTAGATACAAGACAGACAGAAACCGCTGCGGCCTTAACACTATAAACAATTCTCACAACGCCGTAAACATGCATGTTTCTCCCTCCGTTGGTGCTCCCCCCTGGTCCCGTTAAGCCGGTTGGCCGTGGGAGTCGTCGCTGCGATCCTCCTCCTTCACCGTCGGCCGCGTCGTGTTCGACTCGGAATCGCCCTTCCCGCACCCTTTGACTAGCATATGTCGCTGTAAAGCGTTCGTTAGGATACATCGTAGAAGAAAGGCAATGTCAAGGAGGGGCATACCTTGAGAGCATCCTTGCGGGAGAAACTCTTGTCGCAGTGGTTGCAAGGGAAAGGCTTGACCGACAGATGAATCCGCTTATGTCGTTTCAGGTCATGGTTGCGGTTGAAGCTCTGGGGACATTGATCGCACTTGAACGGTCGGTCGTTGGCGGGGCCTGGTCCTCCGTGGCCCGGCGGCGGCAGGTGTCCGCCATACATCCGCTGCATCTGCGCCTCGAACCCACTGTTGAACGTGTGGGGCATCATCGTATTAGGCGCCGTCAAGGACATCTGTGTGTTCGGGGCGTGCAGGTTCGTCCACACCGGCCCGCTCGACCCAGGGAGGGTATATGACGGCCAGGGCTGCCGTTGGTAGTTCAGGTGATGCGCAGGGTGGGGGTTTGACGCGACCCGGCCGGGGGGTTGCATGCTCATGGCGGTGGGGCCATAGGGGGAATAGCTTCCCGGCGGACTGGCCAGCTGCTGGACCGTGCTATAGGCGGGCGCGGACGAGGACTTGACCATGTAAGGATCGTTCGATGGGAGCGGCTGCGGAGAGGGCACGGGAGGGAGGCCGTGCTGTGCCGATAACACGGCATGCGTGAGCGCGTGTGGGGGCTGTTGCGCGGCAGTGACAGGGATCGGTTGTTGGAAAGGCGGCAGCTGGTTCATCTCGTACCCTTGCGGTATCGCGTCCGCGCCCGTAGGCGATGTGACCGTATTACGACTGATCGGGTTATTTCCGGGTGGCGAGAAGGTGTCGCGACTCGCATAGGGGCTCAAACTCGACGCCCACGACGGGCGTGCAGCCGCGGCGCCCGACGCACTGCCATATGAGTTCTGTGTTGGCCAGAACGGACCCAGATCGGGTGTGGCTGGTACGGATGGAATATTCCCCGCGGTCGTCTGGTGCGCCGTCGTGACGGGGGTGGATTCGCCCGGTTGACTCGTCGCCGGTGGGGTCAAGAGGTTGCTGACACTCGGATTGAGGGCCGAGGGGTTGGGGAGTTGAGTGTATTTCAAGGCTCCGGGGAACTGTCGGCTGGGGAGCTCCATGCTGGGCAGCGGGGGAGCGCCTGGACGACGGGTGTTCAACGGCGGGGGAGCCGACAGCGCTTCAAGAGAGGGTCCCATGCCGGGGGCGGGAATAGCAAGGGCAGCCATGTTGGCGCTGGAATCACGAGGGTACCCGGTAGAAGGGAACAGGTCGACCACGTTCAACGGGGCGTTGGTCAGAGTCGAGGGTAAAGGTCCTTGGGGAAAAGCAACGCTTTCGGTTCCGAGAGTCCAATATCGACTGCCAGAGAGGCCTCCAGAGATATCCGGAGGATCCAGGAGGGGCGATGGGATCGCCACAAGCGATCTCGCGGGGGAGTCGGGATGAGAATGATCGCGCACGATCAATCCGTTGTCACGGTCGGCACGGTCTCAAGTCGATGCTTGGTGAACCACTTGCGCTCAGTTGGAAGTCATATCCCAGAAGGAGCAAATCGTGAATAAAGGCAAATCAAGCCACCCGTCTCTTGGTCGTACCAAGGCACCAAACCAGTCGCCAGCAAGTTTCTTCTTGGAAAGGTGACGATTAGACCCTCACGCACATGGTCTGTATGATTGAAGATCAGATGAAGTGACCGATCGGACCGAGGCGTGGTATAGACGAGGCAGGCGATATGCGGCTAGATGCGACCCTCAGGTCAACACTGACGTACCGTGGGATGACGAAAGGCTAAGTGCGAGTGTGGAGGTGAGTCAACGAGGCGCAGGGAAAGGCTGATGATGGTAAGAGTCACACAAAATGGGTAATGATGATGTTTTGAGGGGGAGTGGCGTGGGAAGACGGTAGAGAAGAAGGTAAAAGTGGTGGGATGGTGAGGTGGTGAGATGGGATGATTAGTAGTAGTGGGAGGAATAATAGTATGCAGTTAGTGTGCAGTGTGTATTGTGTAGTTAGTGTGTGTGCAGTGGAAGAGGGAGTAGTAGTAGTAGTAGTAGTAGCAGTAGTAGAAAAAGATAAGAAGGTGGAGATAAATGATGATTCGGTGCTGCGGCTGGCCGGTCCGGGGCCTCTTTTGATTTTATTTATTCGGGGAACGGGTGAAGATTTTAGTAGACTAGGTAGACTGGGTAGACTAGCCAAAGCAAAGGTGCAAAAAGTCGATGAATGATTGATTGCTGGTCGGGACGGGCAGAGACCTTCGCAGGCCCAAACAACCCGGGAATGAAGACGTATCCAGACCAGTCCAAAGCCGGGTCTGGCCAGCGCGGGGGGGGAAAGAAAGAGAGGGAAGAGAGAAGACGGAGGGAGGGGAGGGGAGGGGGAGCAAAAAAGAAGAATTAACGAAAAAGCGAATTCAAAAAGAAAATAAAAATGACAGGGGAAAAAGAATAAACAAGTAAAGGGAAAATAGAAACCAGACAAGACGAAGAGAGACAGACAGAGAGTGAGTAAGTGAGTGCGAGCGCAAAAGAGAGCAGAAGAGAGCAAAAGAGATAGCCCCAGAAAGGAAAACAATGGTATTTTTTCGGGGTGTTCTCCGGTCACGAAATATTACCAGGGAGAAATTACCCACCCTAAATCAGCTAGACTGTCAGGAATATTAGACGAGGGAGTCCCAAAGAAAAAAAATTAGGAAAAGGCTGGAATGCTTCTGCAATGGACGGTTTCTTCAGGGCGAGAATTCGACTTCTGCAGCAGGAGTCCCCTGGACCAGGAAAAGGTAAACACAAAACACAAATGGAGGAAGAGAAGGAAGAGGAGGACAGGAAAACAATCCGAAGAGGAATATCAATCAACCATGGGACTGCAGCAGCAGCAGCAGCAGCAGCAGCAGCAGCAGTAAGTAGTTCACCAGCAGCGAAGGATAATTTAGTTTAGGGTACTCCGTGCTCCGTACGCTCCATAGAGAAAGAAGCGAGTGAAAGTCGGGCTGCATCCCCTAATCTGGGGAATCACTGCTCCTGCAGTCCGGTACGGTATGTACAGTATGTACGGTATGATACAGGTAAGCGGGTGGTGTCTGGCACGGCTGGGACTGGATCTGGACCAGGTGAGCAAGTCAATGTCTCGACAATCCAACTATTCATTCTTTGTGATTATTTCCCTCTGTCTGACTGAGACTATTCTGAAGAGTAAAACAGAGAGAATGAGGGCGTTAGAGAATAAAACAGTAAGATACAGATAGAGAATAACAGCAACATCCAACAGGCAGGCAGGCAGACAGGCAGACAGACAGACAGTCTTACCCATCGCCCATGGATCGCAATGCTCGTTTCCCCACCCACCCTTTTTTTTTCCCTTCCCAGACTAACCAAAGTAACCGAGAAAAAAAGGAGACTAAAAGTTCACTAAACAGACTAAACAGACTAAAGACACCAAAGACACTAAAGACACTAAACGACCAGGACGACTGATCAACGGCAACGTGGTTGACAGGGCTCTGGTACCAGACCAGACGCCCAAAAAGGGTTTCCACCTTCTCGGCTCTTCCCATTCCCATCCAGCTTCCTGTCTTCCTTATTTCTTTTGTTCTTCGGTCCTGTTCTTCCTCCGCTTGAGTGAAGTGCTAAGTCTAACCGACCACCACATGATTCTGTTCCACACCACACTGCGCAGGGATGGAGGGGTAGACCCGAACAACTACTCTATCACTTGGTCTTGTAGAGTCGTTGTCATCAGCATCATCTCTATCTTCAAACTGACTCTGTCCCAACCAGCAACCAGCGACTCAATAGTATCGAATCGGCTAGACCTCCCTTCTGCAGCGTGGTCCTGACCGAGTTTGTTAAGAATCATAAGCACAGATTTCCACAAATTTGATCAAAACAATAGGAATGATAAGAATAAATAATTCCGGACCAGCGACGAGGAATCTCAAACCCGGTTCTACATCCCCCGTCCCCCGTCCCCCCTCCCCCCTCTCCCCCTACTCCCCTCTTCATGGGAGAACCCTACTTCCTACCTAGTAGTCCGTAGTACTCACGTACGACCTACACCATAGGATCGTACCTGTGTTGAGGTGATTGCCCCTTCAAGTAACCACTCCCCTTTTCAGGCTCGGGAAGTAAATTACTCAGCCTGGAGGTCAGTCAACCAACTTCCTCGAATCTTCAACTGCTGCTCGCTCCCTATGCACGCGGATGGCTGGAATGATAATCACCCTATCCGGAAGGTCCAGTACTTTTTCCCCCTCATGAAAGACCCTTTCTCTCTCGCTCGCCTTTTGGTTCTATTCTTACTTTTTATTGAATTGGCACTACTGGAGTATCTTCCCTGTCACCTTAGCTTGGTCAGATAGGCATGTGGAGCGCAGTTCGACGATCGGCCAGCCCGACCCCAGCAGGAATCAGCCCTCTGGTCTGTTCTGTTTCCCTGTTTGGTGGAGTTTGGCTTTAAGCTTAGCAGACGGGGAAGAGGGGGAGGGGGAGGGGGGCGGCCACGACGATCGATCAGAAGTCAGAATCTCCCAGGGAGGAAGGGGGACAGGAGACTTGCACGTCACTTTGCACCCACCCCCTTCCCCACGATACTACAACTGTCATGACGCCGACGACCACTCCCATGACCAACAGAGGGATTGTCCGACACTATCCTAATCGTAGCCAGGATTCCTAAACACCGGGGATGGCTACTAAACCAGGTAGAGAGCAATGGTGTTTCCCCCTCCCCCCTCCCCTCCCCCAGTGTGGTGGTCACCGGAAACGCGATTAAACCCCGCGGGCGCAAATCAGATGCATCGATCGTATCATCACGATAAAAAGTGGTCTTGGCTTTGGAGGACTCGGCGCGACGAAAAAGGGGCAAGCAAGCGATCTGCTGCTCCTTGCGTCGTGGAATGCATGACAGATGCTGGGCCGGTGTGGTGGTGATCATGCTGCTGCTGCTGCTGCCGAGTCTTACGCGGGACGGAGCGAGTCACTCTGGCTACGGAGTAAGTACTCCAGGATCATTATTGACTATTGATGATTGAAGGATTATCGTTTCAGTCGATTGGGGAGAAGGGGTCCTTGCAACAATCAATGATGATGATGATGAGGAGGAGGAGGAGGAGTTACCAGTCAGATGAAAATCGGACTGTGACTGACTGACTGACTGACTGACTGTGTCTGGTCGGTCTCCCTTCTTAGTCAGCGGTCGGGGGTTGACACGCCGGAAAATAAACACGATTTTTCGACGGTACAGACCCTCCTCGATCCACTCCCCATCGAAGCTTCGATGGCTACTCCGATCCAGTGGAATCATTAATATGGCTGTGATATGTTCATACTCCGTATCTATTATGTATTACTATACCTACCTACCTTCGTATAACCTTATGGACTGCGTTAACAATCATTATGGATTCCACCCTCTATCTTTCCTCTTCCCTCCCCCCTTGATGTCTGCATGTATGATATTTCGACCCCCAGGTAAGGAAGGATTGAACTGACACCAGCAGGGCCTGCACGGACACCCACCAGAACAAAGAACCTCATTCCCCGTTCAAGGCAAACAACGGTCCCTGCTCCGCCTGGGAGACTCTCCCATTCCAGTGCTAGCCCCGAGCTCTTCCGCGACCGACCGGCCGACCGACCGACCGACTCGACTAACCCTCACCATCCATTCCAGGCATCTCACAGTCACCTGTTAGTGGCACTTGCCCTCACCAAGCTCACAGAACAAAGTGCCCTGCTTCCATTGAACAATCACGACCCTGGTTGGGCGAGTGAACAGACCACTTGATGCAAGTGAGATTCCAATTCGCTGCCTCTCATTCCTCCCAGAGATTAATCATTGCACCATCCTTCTGAAGCAGCAGCATCATCAGCAGCACCTCCTTTGGGATGCAGCATGCAGAACCCTCTTTAATTAAGGCCAATAACATAGGGCCCCTCGGTTCTTGATTGGGGATACGGTCATTGCATCTGCACGCGTCCGCTGAAATATAGTCTACTAGGTAGAGAGGCAGGTGGGGGGGGGGAAAGAGTAGGGCAGATCGAAGCGACTGGCAGGGGACGAGCAGTGAAGTTGCTCGGATCCTGGACCATGGATGAGCTGGGGTGGAGATTGGGGGGGGGAGAGACCAGATGGTGGTGGCGATTGGTGGGTGGCTCGTGTTTTCGCATACAGCCATACGCTGAACCATACAGCAATACAGCAATGTGACAGCAATAGTACTGGCCATAACTGGTCATACTAGCGCAATTCTCACCTCGGGCGTCGGCGTCAGAGCCAGTTCTAACCCTGATCAGGTCTAATGCCGGTCAACTGCTGCAGCCCACACAAGCCGAGACTTTCCCGCCTGGTCATCTTGCAGCTGTTTTCCACAGGTAATTGGCTCGTCTAGCACCATCTCCCAAGTGGAATCTACGATTCAACCGAGATGTCCAGTGGATATCCAGGATGTCGCTATTCTGGTCTTCAATGATTGTTCCTCTCCCTCCCCCGCCCCCCTTTCCCCATTATGTTGTTGTCCGCCGTTCTTCGTGTCTTTTATTCTTTGCCCTTCCCTAAGCTTCTTTAGACTGATGGCTGGTGTCGGGTCCGCTCGTTATTTTCGCAAATCGCACTAACCGGAACTGACGACTGAGTAACTATCCTTATCAATCGTTCCCACTTTTCTTGTCGCTTGCGAAAGGGGGGGAGAAGGGGAAATGCCTGAGAGCAGTGACGGACAGAGGCATCGGCCCAGACCCCGGTGGATTTCGAGCCACCCCCTTGGGAATCTGGGATATGCTGCAGTAGCCACTATTGGCCGGGCAGGCCCGCGGTTTGGCTGCATTGGATCCAGTCTAAAGTAGGCTTAGCTGCTTTGCCATCTTGTCCACTGCGTCTTTGTCCCATCAACAAGCAATAATTTACTCCGTAGATAGTTCAGTGTGGCTGATTCCCCCCGGAGTGCCCGCCGTAGCAGACCGAACGGAGGGCTAACTTTAATTGAGTTAACTTACTATAACTCGCGCAAGTCACAAGCCAGCTAACGGTGCACCACCACCACCACCACCACCACCACCACCACCAGTTGGCCTCTACCGACGGGAGGCGCGGGCAGTGACCAGGCTGTCGGGTATTGGTGGAGGGTTCGCGTCCGCGGTCCCATTACCGCCACCCTTGTGTACAGTACCGTGCTATAGTATCACCAACAACCTCTAAGTTACTGCATCCATCACCACTACTATCATCACTTCCCCTCTCTTCTCCCCCCCCACCCCACTGCACCCACTGCACCCACTGCAGTGCAAGATCGCAGATGCCTGTCCGAGGCTCATCGCCTCCTCTCCTGCACTCCACATTGGCATGTGTTTCCCCAGCATTTCTCCCACCCCCTGCACCTGAGCATGGTTTGGGCCATGCTGGTTGGCTGACAAAGGTCCCTTCCACCCTCCATTGCACTCCCGACTTGAGGCAAACATGACAGGACCGGAGCACGAATGATCTCCTCGCCACCGGAATTACTGTTAGGATTACACCACCACCAACAACACCTGGCAGGAAGTAAGTAGTAGCCTTTCCACTCAATTCCGATCGGAGACAACGGTCTAATCTTCCTCCCATGGCGGATTGCCATTCGAGGATCTTACTATCCCTCCCCCCCCGTCTGTGCAGGTTAGGTCCCTGAAGGACCCCTCTGCCACCCGTGCTGGCCACCACGGATTGACAGGCACGCCTTCCGACCGTGGAGAACGGTCAACGGGTCGGAATAACTTGAGGATCGTTGGTGCCGCTGCTGCTGGATTGTTTGTCTTGGCTCGATGCCATTGATAGACTAGACGCACTCTTTCTCTCCTTCCTGCCCATCGTCCCCAGATTGCATATCCGATCCCTACCGGAACCAGCACCCCCTACACCACATTCCTCCAGCCTAACCACCTTACATCCCCTTTCCTTTCCCACTGCAATCCAGCGCATCTCCGTTTCTAGCTCAGGGGCTAGACTTCTCATGTCGCAAAGTGACAGATAAGACTCGTACGATAGCCCATACCGCAGATCAAGAGCGACAGGCAGAAAAAGGAGTCCGGCTGCCCGACATGCACCCTCCTCGCTTACTGTATGCCGTCCTGTACACAGCACCGAGAGCAGATGCTTATTGCAGTACCTTAAGGCCTAGCCCAGGTGATCGGCCTGCAGCGTGCGGCAGAGGCGTGCCTGAATACATCCAACCCTTTGTTTAGTCTCTGATCGGAGCCGAACGGGTCGCGTGAGTGGCTTCATTGTCACCTACCTTGCTATCTCGTGGTCCACGCCTCGGCTGCTCCGTACAGTACAACCCTAGCAAAACTGGCGCGCTCTGTTCTACCTGTAGACGACATGTACTACATGCCGTACACTACTAACTACTATCTCTTGCTATTTCGCTGTATCTTTGCGAAAAGCCCACCACTGTAGCTACAAGAGGTGCCTTCTTACTCGGCAGGTTTCTATTGTGGCTACTATGTACTGTACTGTACTGTACTCGATAAGTTTATCCCAGGCCGACGGCTCTTTGTCCAGCCCAGCCAGCCACCTCCGCGTTGGTCAACAAAGAGAATCACTCAACTGTGAAATACTTGTGACGTGAGATGAAGAGAACTGGAGATTTAGAGGACTTTCCGCATCAACAGTTCCGCTGCTGCTGCAAATAGACCTACCTTCTGCTCACTGTATATGAGTTTCCTTCCACTAGTGCCCGGAAACACCTTCGTTTGTCAGTCACAACCAACGGCTGCTTGCAGCACTAAGAGAATAGGCAAGGATCAGAGATTGGACTTAAGAGCGCAACGGCGAGCACAGATTCATAAGTCTCTAGCATAGGACAAACGATCATCATGGCGAGCTCATCCCAACTATCCCCTGATCCGCCTTCCTCCGCTTCGGTCGAGCCTGTGGACAAGAGATTACTCCTTGCTATGGGACCTTGTGGAGTGAGACGTTGCCAGTGCATCTCCGGAGAAAGCACATCCAATCTGGATTCCCTGCCCAGCAAAGCACAGTGTGGTATATGTTCACATCCCCTAAGCAAGCACGATAGCTACGGTTCGTTTCCCGGTTTTGTTCTTTTGGGCTATGTCCTTGGTTTCCACCGCTGATTGATACACCCCCAATCACCAGGTTCGTCCGGCTCTCGACTTCCAGGAGCGCAGATAACCGAGCCGCAAGGTGCGTCACGTTCTGGTAAAGGGGAAGGAACTTGCCGTTGATCGACTCTCTTTGCAGCGCTTCCCGACGTGGACTGCTCAGCGACCTCGCGTTGTCAATGAACTGATCGCTCGCCTGGACCGCTACTGCCTGATTCGAGTGAACGGGACCCCAGCCTCCGGGAAGACCACGATGATGAATCTTGTCGCCAACGAGTTGCTCGTGCGTCACCCGACCACGCCGATCTATATCCTCGACGGCTGGGAAGAGGCCCGGGTGGAGAAAGCCGGCGGCTGGACCCTTTATCTGAAAGCACTGGTTGGGGTCCCCGGACGTTCGCTCCGAAATCATCCGTGTTACATCTTGGTGGACGAGGCACACGAATTCATACTGGGACAAGCAGCTATGGAGTGCTCTCTTCATATCCTGCGGGCCCGGCGACGCGGCGAAGATCGTCCTGTTCACCTGCTACGGCACGGCCGAAGACGACGGCCATCGGCCGGAGAAGTATTTCAAGACCCCGATGGCCTCCTTCCTTCCGCACCAGCAGATATCACTTCGGTCGGAAGCGAGAGACCCAGAGTGGAAGCCCATTGGCTTGCTGCTCGAGGAAAGCGAAGCCAACGATATCCTTCCGCAGTTTCTGCCCACCGTGCTCCCCAATGGTGAGAAGCTTTTGACGGAGGAATTGGGACACGGACTGTTCCTGGCCAGTGGCGGGCATGCTGGGTCATTCACATCCCTTATACATGTCCTGCGAGCTGGTGGGGGAAGGGCCTGCATGACTGGCTGACCAGTCATGAATAATAGAAGCTCCAAAAGCCAATCCAGAGCCGTCGCCCCCTCGACTGGAAAACCGCATGCGACGGGCTTTTCAGTGATGGTCAGCTGTTCTTCGAGCATATCCGGACCACCATCTTCTCTCGAGGCTTACCGAAACAGAAGGTGATGCAGAACCCCGCTTATGCGACGGTTTTCAAGCATGCGATTGCGTGCAACGGAACTAGCCGTTCGAGCTTTCCCAGCGACTCGGATGACGAGACGGCGCTCGAAGATATCTGGAGAAACGGATGGCTCCATGCCGAGCATCCGGAGGGAGGAGATACATACTACATGTTTCCCACCCAAGTGCATCGTTGGTAACGTTACTTCTGTCGACAACTCAAGAGTATGCCCGATTTTGCTAGGCTAATCAAGTAGTTGCGGGCTGTAGGTACTGCCAGTTCCTCTTCAAGCCTAGCAATCCCCGAAAAGAACTAGTCTATCAGTCCCCCCTCGAGATGGCGGTCGACGCAATACGCAGAGTCCATCCCGACCAGCTCTCGAACCCCCCTGCGATGCCGATTGAAGACCTGTGTCAGAAGGAGTTCTACCGCTGCCTCTTTCCCCTGCTGATCGAAAGCCAAATCACCGTTTCCCCGGAGTATCTGATCAAGACGGGGCTCCGGAGCGGGCGGATTGATTTTCTGGTGCCCCAGAAGCAGTGAGGAGTCGAACTGCTTCGAAGCGGCGACCGGATCCGGCAGCATATGCAACGATTCAAGAAAAGGGGCCAGTATTTCCCCATGCTGAGGGAGGAGCTGATCCAGGAATATATCGTTCTGAAATTCACCCGAACGCAACCACAGAAAAGCTACCCAGGTAAACATCATCCGTGCATCCTCCGATATCCTCAGCCCCCGGGCTAATTCTTTCCCTTTCTCTGTTCTAGAATATCGTGGTCATCTGTATCACGTTGTCTTCTCCGAAGATTTTTGAAATGTCCGCGTCGTCGACGCCTCCGATCGGAGCGAGGTTATTACCTTCGTTCTGGCGGAGAACGCATTCTTTTATGTATCATGATGCCAGTATATTTGTCACTGATTCTTCTATGTAGATATCGTACAGGACAGACGAACACCTTTTTCTTTCCCCACCATGTTCATTTTTTCAATGCGGGGGTGTCTGTGGTGATTAGTTTATATATATCACAGGAAGAGGAGTAAGATGAGTCCGTGCCGGTAAGCCTGCATCTCCAAAGCACGACGCACCCAGCAAGCAGAGGGGCTAACTGGATCACCGGGAGATGGGATTGATCGGGTTCTTGAGCAGTCGGGCACTATACTCAAGGTATTTGATGTGCTTTGCTTTGCGTTGAATAAGTTTGCATAGGATAGATAAATAGTACTGTACTATCCTTCATTGTTCTGCAATTGTATACGGAGTACGGAGTAAGTTACCAGTATGCAACCTTCCCGCCTGGTAGGCACCCCAGCCGGACCACTAAACTAGAGTTTTTTTCCGGGGAGGGAGGTACAGTACAGTACCGTATCGCCCGTAGTTGCTGCTGCTGCTGCTGCTGCTGCAGAGCTCTTTCTGGACTGTCCGTGTGACCTACCTGCCTGCCCCCAAGTTATCATACAGGCCCAGCACGTAAGTCAAGGTTACCGTATTCAATGAAAAGAATGGTATTGATCCTTTCGACCCTCTCCTCCCCTTCCCCACCCCAAACCAAAATCCTCAAACTCGGCTAAACTTGACTCACCTGACATTACTACTACTAGACTACTACGGAGTACTTTACCGACTGGATAGTAGTTACGAGTCGTTCCCAGTCCGAAATAAAAATAAACGTGAACCCACGGAGGAATAGATCTACTCCTTAACCCCCAGACCACAAAAACCCCAGTGACCGACCGCAATTATGCCCGCTCGCTGGGAAATCCCTCAACAGTCCTCCTCCTTCTCCTCCTCCTCCTCCTCCTCCTCATGGGTTGGCGACGCGAGTACGGAGTAGGGCGAAACCCAAAAATAAAACCGAAAGTGGAAAAACCGAAGATAAAAAAAAAAAGAAAAAACAAAAAAAAAAGAAAAAACAAACCCATCACATGACAGGAATGTCTGGACTGCAGCGCATCGCATCGCCAGCATCGGTAGGGAAGAACGACCTAGACCGGTCCAGACCGTAGTGGGGATGGGGAACCTCCGCTCCGTAGAGGGAAAACAGCAAGAGCTGCCAGGTGGGGGGACAGGACAGACAAGATGCATTGTTGCATTGATGCAGGCGGCTGACCAAAGGGAAAAAAGGCTTTCTTTTTCTTTCTCTTTTTGTTTTTGTTTTGTTTGGTTCGGTTTGCTTTGGTTTTGTTTTTTCTGGGGGGCTGACGGGAATGGTGCCAGGCGGCGTTCGCCGTGGCGCAGTGCGGTGTGTAGCTTATCTGGCGATGGTTCCGGGGTGTAACTATAACTACTGTATACTGGACAGTACTATGGGCGTGGTGCAGAAATCAGGGATTTGATTGACCTTACCACGGAAGACTACTACTTACTAACCTAAGTGGTCTATTTGTGTTGTGGTTATAGTTTCTTGAGGCTATAGTTCTTGGGTCATAACATGTGAACAGCATCTACATTGTCTTTGCTTTACCCAGATACACGGAGCAGTATCCGTACTCCGCACAGTAGCAGTAGCGACTGCACTCACCCGTCACTTACTGCTGCTGCTGCTGCTGCTTTTCCCCCTCCCTCCCCTCCCCTTCCTTATCCTCATCCCCATCCCCATCTCCATCCTCAACATAAACATGGTACTTATACCGACTCCCCGGATGATCCTCGCGTAACTCCCTCTGCCCGACCCCATACACCTTCTCCCGCATCGTCACCCCTTCCTGTTCCACCGGAGAATCCGGATACAGCCCGCGCCGCCGCAGCTCGGGCACCAACAACTCGACGACATCCTCGAACGTGCCCGGCGTCGTGACATACGCGACATTGAAGCCATCGAGATCGGCCTCGCGCACCCAGCGCTCCATCTCATCCGCCACCTGACCGGGATCCCCGACGGCGACGGGGCCCAACCCGCCGATGGCGGCCTTCTGGGCCACGACCCGCGGCGTCCACCGCGGCACCTCGGGGCTGGTCGTCGTGAACGCATCCAGCATGCTGCGCACCTTGTGCGCCTCCGTGCTGTCCGCGGCCGTGATGTCCTGATCGATCGGGATCTTCGAGATGTCCACCCCGGTCCACCCGCTGAACAGCACCAGCCCGCCGACCGTCGACGCGTACCGCTGCGCCTCGGCCAGCTTGGCCCGGGCCTCGGCCTCCGTGCGCCCGAGGATCGGCGTGAACGTCCCGAAGAACTTGAGGGACGCGGGGTCGCGCCCCTGCGCCGCGGCCTGCGCGCGGATGGCCGCGATCTTCGGGCGCAGGACGCTGGGCGCGTGCGCCGACACGAAGATGGCCTCCGCGTGCGTGGCGGCGAACTGCGAGCCCGCCGTCGAGGTGCCCGCCTGGAAGAGGAAGGGCGTGCGCTGCGGGGACGGGTCCACGATGTGTCGCGTCGACAGCTGGAAGTATTTGCCCTGGTGGTGGATGGTGCGCACTTGCGTCGGGTCGATGTAGCTGTCTTCCGCCGGGTTGGGGGATAGCGCGGTCGGGGACCAGGAGGATTCCCAGAGTCTATGCACGGGGAGTCAGTAGGGGTGGGGGCGGGGGTGGGCGTGTTACTGGCCGGGGAGGGTTACTTGTATAGCACGCGCAGGTACTCGTCGGCCTGGGCGTAGCGCTCGTCGTGCTCGATGGGCGTGTCGATCCCGATGGCCTTGAAGGCCGCTTTCTTCCACGAGGTCACGATGTTCCAGCCGATGCGCCCGTTGGTCAAGTGGTCCAGGGTGGAGAAGCGCTTCGCGAGGAGGAAGGGCGGCTCGAAGGAGGTGGAGGCCGTGATGCCGAAGGCGAGGTTCTTGGTCACCGCCGCCATGGCGGAGATGGGCTGTCAGGGCTGGTTAGCATTCAGGATATCCATCGAGCAGAAGATGTGCACTGGGTTGACGTACAATCGTCGGATCCGTCATCGGCCACTGCGCCGCCCGTCGGATACATTCGTCCAGACTCCCCTCGTACGTATCATACCCCCCATAGGTATCCGCCAGGAACAAGGCCGTGATGCCCCCGCGCTCCAGCAACTGGGCCAGGTCCGTCCAATACTTCAGCGTGCGCTTCGTCCCCGACCGGTCCGTGGGGTTCTTCCACTGCCCGGGCGACAGGTGGCCGACGGTGGACATGTCGAACGCGTTCAGCAGGATCTGCTTTTTGGGCGCATCGGGGGTCGCTTCGGTGGAAGACATGGTGGTGGCTGCTTTGCTCTGCTTGTGCTTTTCAGGGTTCGCTTATGTATGGTTCAAGGGATAGGTACGTTCATATATAGCTATACAGTGTCGATTTGCAGCGATGGGCATACCATACCCCTCACGCGCCATCATTCGATCGCATTGCGTGACATCGTCGTGGATGCTCCTCGTGGCTTATTGCTTTGGCACCGGTTCTCTCTCCGCAGAGAATATCATAAGGGTTGAAGAACGGAGTAGCTCCGAGATAACGCATACTGGATTAGCTGGTGTCGCGAGGAGACGGGGTTATGGCGTGCTGGGGTTATCTATCGGTCGAGAGGGATGCTTGGGCTATAATTATGTCCTGGATGCTCAAGCTGTATAGTCTAATATCATTAAGAAACAAAAGTAAACATGTCTAGAAGTGTAGGCAATTCCTGATTGATTAAATACAGTCTTGGTCTGTCCATGCATGGCTCGAGAGTTACCATAGTTGGACTCGGTGCGGCATGGTATATAGCTTATGCCAGACAGACATGGGACTTGAGAAAGAGATGCATGATCAACATATAGTCTCAAGTCTGACCCCAAGGCACGCAATCAATTATTGATGTACTACATCTAGACACTCCGACTGGTAGTTGATGATATGGACTTGTACTGATCACCTTCGCCCTCATCTTAGCTAAACAATCAAGTACTGTGTGGCATTCTCACGGACTTAACACTCCGAATGTGCTGGACACTTCTCACACTAGATTTCTCCACTGCATCAAGAACAGTTACTTGAACTCGTATACACCCTCGTATAGCCCGTACCAAACATCGAGACTGAAGATCTTTGACGGGCGAAACCGGACAGGTGGGGAAGTCGGATGACGTCGGCGGGGAATCCCCTCATTTCGCTTGCTCTGCTGCACCCCTGCTGCTCGCTCCCTCCATTCTTCCTTTCATCCCAACTGCAGCCTCTACAACTTTACGTTTACTGCCTCAACCAGTGCGTCTTCCACTAACCGCTCCTCTAACATGTTCACCAGACAGCTTCTAACCCACTCTCTACGAAGGTCCATCTCCTCTCTGACCAGTCACCCCACAACCAGCTACCATCCTCTACGTACATTCCATTGCTCCACCGCCGCCATGTCGGGAGTCAACAAGGCCTGCTGCTCGTGAGTATTGCAGCTCTTCAGACCGACTGCACCAACTGACAAACCAGGATCCCCCCCGTTGTCGCCAAAGGCTACCAGCCCAAGGGCGAATACAAGACCATCGGCGGCCTGAAGACCTGTCCGTACCCCCCCAGCTTTCCCGCTCCTCTCCGGGCAGCCCAGCTAATGCCCAGCAGATGTCACCGGACCCGAATCCGCCTCCAAGGCCATCCTCGTCATCTACGGTCAGTACTGGACAGCCATCATCTCTTCCCCCCCTACATCTAATCACCGGACACAGACATCTTCGGCTTCTTCGACCAAACCCTGCAAGGCGCCGACATCCTCGCGCACTCCGGTACCCAGAAGTACCGGGTGTTCATCCCGGATTTCTTCGAAGGCGCGCCCGCCCACATCACCTGGTTCCCGCCGCAGACCGACGACCACAAGCAGAAGCTGGGCCACTTCTTCCAGACCAAAGCCGCGCCGCCCAACAACCTCCCCAAGATCCCGGGGATCGTCTCCGACGCCAACAACCTCGCCTCTGGCGGAAACTTCGAGTCGTGGTCGATTCTGGGGTACTGCTGGGGCGGCAAGATCGCGACGCTGGCGACGGGCCAGGAGAACTCGCTCTTCAAGGCGGCGGTGCAGTGCCACCCGGCCATGCTGGACCCCGAGGACGCCAAGAAGGTGACCGTGCCGATGGCGGTGCTGGCGTCCAAGGACGAGAAGCCCGAGGACGTGGACAAGTTTGGCCAGAATCTGGGCCAACCGGGCTATGTGGAGACGTTCCCCACGCAGATCCACGGGTGGATGGCGGCGCGGTCGAACCTGGAGGATGAGGAGGTCAAGAAGGAGTATGAGCGCGGGTATAAGACGGCGCTGGGGTTCCTGGAGAAGTATGCTTGATGAGTTCCCACTCGGCATGCTAGTTAGTGATTGTACTCGTTTGATGTGTCATGTTCTGGACAGAATGACCTCAGTGGGAGGGAAAAGTTAGTGTGATTGTTGAGCAATCGAGACACTTTCTATCATCATTGAATTGTACAATATCACATCCGTGATTCATATTCATCCGCTCTTCCAAAAAGGGTATGCAGCTCGAAGCTTATTGAAGTAAGCGGTCACGTTCTGCCCACCCGTTGTAGTCCCCGCCCAGCCACCCAACCAACCGCCTTTCCATCCCATCTCACCGCCCAAGCTATTCATTCAAGATCCATCATTCAGCTCGTTCCTCAGCTCCAGGCTGGCCGCTCGCAGTTCTATCTTCTACTATCTTCTATCCCATCACCAACCACCAACCACAAAACACCAAACCACACCCCACCACCAAGCATCCGACCTCCAGACCTTGTCAAAAACAACAGCGCAGACTGGACTAAGTCCACGTCGGTGCCAGGCCGCACCACACCCACACACCGAACACCACACACACTACCTTTCCCCCAAAAGGCGATCACAAAATGCCCGACTCCCCACCACCACCACCACCACCACCACCACCACCACTAGAGTCCACCTCCCACCGCTCCCGCTCCCGCTCTCGCTCCCCACCCCGCCAGCCCAAGAAATCCTCCACCGGCGGCTTCCGATGGAAGGAGAAGCGTCCCGAGCGCGGGGGGCACCGGGACCGCGAGGGGGGCGGCGGCGGCGAGGACGCCCGACGGCTGGATCGGGGGTACCGCGCGCGGTCGCCGCGGCGGGAGTACGATCCCCGGGATCGACGGGAGTACTCGAGTCGAGACGATGGACGGGATGCGAGGGATCGCGATCGTGAGCGTGATCGGGGCTACGGCTACCGCGATCGAGAGAGGGACTACCCCCGCGACCGCGACCGCGACCGCCGCGACAGCTACCAGCCCCGAGATCGAGATAGGGACGACCGGACCCGTGACCGCGACCGCGAGAGCTACAACCCCCGCGCCCGCGACCGACCCGAAAACCCCACTGCGACCTCCACCGACAACTCCCTACCGAAAGAGAAGAAGGAGAAGAAGAAGAAGAAGCGGCCGGCCATTCCCTCCGAGCCCATGATCCTGGTGCATGTGAATGACCGGCTGGGCACGAAGGCCACGGTGCCCTGCTTGCCGTCGGATACGGTGGGGGATCTGAAGACGCTGGTGGCGGCGCAGATTGGCCGGGCGCCGCGCGAGATTCTGCTGAAGCGGCAGGGGGAGCGGCCGTTCAAGGATTTCATCAGTCTGGGGGATTATGGGATTACGAATGGGGTGCAGTTGGATTTGGAGATTGGGACGGGGGATTAGTTCAGTTGTTGGTTGTATCGTATATTGGTTCTCGGTGGTGGACAGACAGGCTAGAGGATAATCTGATGTGTTTCGGGGGTCAGGATCGCCTGCGTGTCGCCATGGCGGAGATCTTCCAGCTTCTCCTGTAGCTGTGGTTGTAGCTGTAGCTGGCCCTGTGCCTGCCGCCACTCCCCCAACCACCCGCCGACGAACCCGATCACCTCGCCTTGCGCCTCGCGCACGCCCTTGGGAGGCACCACCCGCTTCCCTGCCCAGTGCTCCTCCACCCCAAACACCCCATTCTGATCCCAGTGATGCACCCCGCCCTCCATCCCATCGTAGACCTCCTCCGCCGGCACGCGAATCAAAACCATCGGCTCCTCCGCCGTAGAATTCCGCACCGGCAACCCCGTCGCGAAGGGACTCGCCTCCTTCCAGGGATCCGCCAACCCCCCGATATGCGCGACCCGGGGATACGAGAACTCGAACCCGCCGTACTGATTGATGCGCGCCGTGTCCGGCGGGGTAGTGATCCCGTAGGTGGCATTGCACATGTCGACCCAGAAGCCGGGGGTGAGGAGACGCGAGACGAGCGGCGGGATGTGCGAGGGGACGGTCGAGCCCGGCATGAAATAGCCCCATTCCGTGCAGACCTGGTAGTTCCAGCTGGTCGAGGCCGTGCGGGGGAGGCGTTTGTCGTCGTCGTCGTCGTCGTCGTCGTCGTCGTCGTCGTCGTCGTCCTCACCTTGTCCCTGACCCTCAGAAGAAGAAGAAGAGAACACCCCCTCCCGCCGCACAAACCCCACCCAATTCACGACGCCCCGCACCAACGCCTCTCCCTCCTTGGAGCTGTCATCCTCCACCAACCCCCTCACCGTCCCCCCAACCTCCTCCTCCAGGTTGGTGTCCACCACCGTCGGGGCCGTGATATTCCCACAAAACCAACGAAACCCGAGCTCCCCAACCTCAGGCTCCCAGTTCCGCTCCTGCCACAGCCCCAGCGGCTCCGCCAACCCGGCCACGAAGTTCTGGTCCGTCAAATTGGGCGCATGGCCCCCGAACACCTCCTTCAGCAACTGCGCCCGATCGGGAGTCCCGGGGGTAGGGGACCCCTCGGACGCGGAGAGAAGCAGCACCCGATCCACCCACGCGATCAGCGCCTGCTGCGCCGCCACGCAGCGCCGCGGCCCGTGCACGCGGATCGGCTCGTAGTACGCCCAGTAATCCGTGACGGCGGCGGTGACGCCGGAGCTGGAGATGGCGGCCCAGAAGGTTTCCGGGTACTGGCGGCGGAGGAAGGCGACGAAGGCGCCGGCGTAGGAGCCGCCGTAGGCGATCCAGGGGGTGGTCTTCGGGGAGAGGTCCGGGGGGGTTTTGGTTGGTGAGATGATCGGAGGGAGCTGGGTGGCCAGGTAGGCGTAGTCGGCGAGGGCTTGTTCGGTGGTCAGGTAGGCGAGGGTGGAGAGGGGGATGGTGTCGTCGTCATCTTGGGAGGTGGAAGAGGAGGAGGTGTTGGTGCTGGTAGGGTAGCTCGTCCCGTAGTACCGGTGCTCGACGATCAGGGCAACCCCCTGGTAGATCCGCGCGAGTTCGTGGACGATCCCTTGTGAGAGGAAGGGGAGGCGGTTCAGGGCGGAGGTCTCGCCGCCGGCGATCACGAAGACCGGGCCCCCCGGTTGGTAGTGCGTGGTGTCGAGGATGTAGCGCAGCGGGAAGGTGAGGTTCGTGGGTGGGTAGCGTGGGGAGGTGGGGAAGTGGTTCAGTGGGGTGGTCAGGTTGTGGATTGGGAATTGTGATTGTTCACGAGCGGTGGGGGTGTATTCGTGGTTGAGGAGGCGGGCGTTGTTCATCCCGCCTAGGGCGAGGGTGGTGGTTGTGTAGTATAGCAGGAGGAAGAGGTTCATGGTGGTGGTGGTGGTGGTGGTGGTGGTGGTTGTTGTGGGAGGGGAAAGATAGGAACAGGGAGGGTTTCGTGCGGGGAAATGTGTTTATATATGAGTACTGTACTTATACTAACGTAATCGTCAGCCGAGCGAGCCACGCAAGCGAGCGAGCCACCCCCCCTGAATCCTCCCACCTCCAAAACTGAAGCAATTCAGCAGTCAATTACACCACCAAAAATGCCGAAATCATCAAAAGAGTTGTTGTATCAAGAGGGCCGAATTTGCCTTGCCCTTGAAGCTATAAAGACCGGTCAAGTTGCCTTAATTCGTGAAGCTGCTGACGTCTTTAATGTTCCTCGCTCAACTCTTCAACACCGTGCAAATGGCCGTTCATTTCGTCAAGAAACTCGCCCCAATTCGCATAAACTTACTGCGAGAGAGGAAGAAATACTTGAAAAGTGGATTCTTTTGCTTGACGCACGCGGTGCACCTCCAAGAAATTCTGCAGTTCGTGAAATGGCCAATATGTTGCTTCAGAAGCGTGGAGATCAGAAAAAGCCGACAACCGTGGGAGAAAGATGGGTTACAAACTTCGTTGCACGCCATGAAGCTTTAAAAAGTCGATATTTCCGCCAGCTGGATGCCAAGCGGGCGAAGTGCGAGAATCCACAGATTATACAGGCCTGGTTTAATCGCGTTCAAAAGGCTGTATCGGAGTACGGAATTCTTGAAGAAGATGTCTTCAACTTTGATGAAACCGGCTTTATGATGGGCCAAGTTGCAACAGCCAAAGTAGTTACTCGATCAAGCTGTCCAGGAAGGCCTTTTCTTATACAGCCAGGTAACCGCGAATGGGTAACTTCAATCGAGTGTATTAACGCCGCCGGCTGGGCGTTGAAACCGTACTTGATTCTTAAAGGAACAAACTATATAGCAAGCTGGTATGAAGTTTTAATTCCGGGTGATTGGAGAATCAATACATCTCCAAATGGCTGGACAAGCAATGAAATCGGCTTATATTGGCTTGAATATTACTTTATTTTATTAATAATCAACCGATGAATTGGCAAATACACCCTGTTGATTCTTGATGGCCATGAATCGCATTTAACACCCAAATTTGACAACTTATGTTATACGAATCATATTATTCCTATCTGCATACCTCCTGGTTCATTGCATCTCTGCCAGCCGTTGGATGTCTCTTGTTTTGCACCTCTTAAGAAGGCATATTACAGCTTGGTGGAACGCCTTGCACGTGCCCGATATTTGAAGATTGATAAAGGTGATTTCTTGGAGGAGTATCCAAAGGCTTATACTATGGCGTTTAAGGAAGCCAATATACGGAGTGCCTTTAAGGCTTTAGGCTTAGTTCTGTATAATCTAAGCCAGGTGCTTGATAAGCTGATTTATGAGGATTTTGATAGCCGGCCAAGCAGCCAAGATTTTTGGTTAATAATCTTAAAGACGCCTGTCAATACAAATCAGTTTAAGAAGCAAGAGGCAAGGCTTGAACAACTGCTTAGTGGTGTAACTGATACACCAATGAAGTCAGCCTTGGGCTACGTCTTCAAAGGCGCTGAGATGGCGTTGAACCGGGCGGTTTTGTTGGAACAGGAAGTTTGAGAACTCCGCTGGGCGAATGAGAGGTTAAACACCAAGAAACGACGAAGAAATAAGCAGCTTACAGGCCTTAATGGCCTCACTGTTAGCGAAGCAAGGGAGGCATTCCAACGCGAGTATAAAAAGGATGAAGCCCTTCAGATTGAGGATCAGAATCAGCCTCGCCGCCGGGCACCTCCCAGGTGCAGCGAGTGCGGTGTTCAAGGACATATACGTACAAGGTGTCCAAACCGAAGAACTGTGTAAAAAGACGTTTAAAATAGTGTAATTAATGCTTCAAAACACCATATATTTGTATACAAATCAAGAATCCATGTTGGTGCTGCATTTGGTGGATCTGCTGGCTCGCTCGCTTGCGTGGCTCGCTCGGCTGACGATTACGTTAGCAAGGTACTAACTACTAGATTGTGTTATCATAAGTTAGTGCTAATCTCCTTGCTTGGTCCGATTGTCGCCGAGTGGAGACGGAGGCTGGAATGTTACAGTGGGTGTTGCAGAGAGGTTCACTTCGCCCCAGATCTTCTCTTGGCTTGTTACACGGCTATATTTATCCATCCCCTCCAAAAATGTTACACATTAACTTGAGTTCGAGAGACACCAGCACCAGCAACTCACTAACCGCGCTACAACTCCACGCGAGGCCCCGTGAAGTTCTTCCGGCCGTCCACCACCCACTGGATCAGGGAGATAATCAAAATAATCCCAAAGGCAACCACGCAGTAATCTACCCCAGTCAGCAGCTGCCAATATACTCTGCATTCATCCAACCAAGGAGCTTACTCATGTTGCTGCCCGTCACGGGCCGGTCCGGGGGAAACACGAACAAGACTGTGGTCAGTGCGATATACGAGAGAGAGATCTGGCTCGTCAGCATGGAACACCCCCTTGCCTAACACCAACCCACTCACCATGTCAATCACCCAGCCAATCTTGTTGGGGATCTTCCATTTGCGATCGGGCAGTGTCCGTCGTCCACGCAGGCAGTTCACCGCGATCGGCATCGCGTACGAGAGATCCAGGAGTACGACCGACGCCGACACGATGGCGTTAAACGCCCTACACTAGTCAGCGCAGCTCATTTGCCCAGACAGAAACACCTACGAGCTCGATCCAAGATAGATAAAGCCGAAGATAATCACCACGACGGTGGTGAGGACCAACGCGTTCAGCGGCAGTCCGAGCCGGGGATGCACCCGCGCGAAGAACTTGGACGCCGGCAGTCCGCCGTCTCTGCGCGTTCGTCAGCTGCGAGTTTCGCCTGAAAGGGACCAGCCATCCTACCGCGCAAAAGCAAAAATCATGCGACTGCTGGTCGTCATCACGCTCAACGTCGCGAACAGCAGACAGACCAGGGGAAGCCTGCGTCGGATCCGTTAGCAACACTTTTAGCGACGAAAGGCAGCACATACATGAGGAGGCAGATGGCCCCGGCGCGGTTGTTGGTCGCATGGATGAAGATCTGCAGTAGGGGGCCGGCGCTCGAATTGACCACCTCGTCGATGTCGCCGGCCACGAACAGCAGCACGATGAGAAAGATCGCTCCGGTGAAGGTGCCGATCCCTACGCAGACGACCATGATCTTGGGGCCTTTGATGGACGGTTGCGGGATTTCTGGACGGTCAGCCGGCGCTTAGGAGTTGGAGAAGGGCGCTTTCACCTTCAATCATGTGGCAGACCGCGTCCTGGATTCATTAGCGGGGGTTGATCGACAGTCGATTGGGGACTCACAAACGCGGTCACTCCGAGTCCACCTTGCAACAGCTGGGTCTGTTAGCTACATCGTCACAGATCGAAGGTCGCACCTACCCCCAACAGCCAAGCCACACCATCGGGCCCTAATCATGTTAGCGATGCTTGTAAGCATCCAAGACTCAAACTTACAGCCAGTCTGGTTGATGAAGTTGGTAAACACAAATCTGCGGCAGTCAGTAAAGCCAGTCAGAAATGCAGCAACACCACTTACGAGGCAGAATTATAGTCCGGCGAGGCACAAGCCAACACGGTAATCGACACCAGCACGAACCCGCCAATCGACCAAGTGACTTATTTCATCAGTTCAAGCTCATCAACCGTCAGATTAACCCAGGCAAACGTACAAGCACCACGATAGATGATCGGAAGCACCGAGTTCATGAACCCGTTGACCACGAACGCCAACACTGTATAGGCGATGTACATGAGGAAGTACTGCCACCGTTGCCAGGCGAACTCCTATGAACGCTAGTCAGCAGTCGCTCACCCCTTTGGGAGGGTTGAAAGGCATACCGGGTAAACCGAGGACACGATCCCAGCGATCAGCTGACAGGAAAGCAAGGCATTGGTAGCCACCAGCGCAACCTGAACGGTTAGCCTCGCACACACCACCATAGGATTGCTGCATCTCACCCATCCAGCCACATTGACCCAGCCAGTCACCCAGGATAGGATTGGCACCCAACTCGGCCAGGAAACTGGTGGTTCGGTGAGAAACGCGCGACAAGCAGGCCACCAGCACCGAGGAATACATACTAGCTGCACCGTAGTTAGTCAAACAGATTTTCGGAAGCTGTACGCAAAAAGGGAGGAAAGTAAACGCACCAGCCACCCAATGATACTGCCCGCCCGCCGTAGGATACGCCGAGAGGAATTCCGCCAGCGACACGGCGATGCACAGGTTACATGCTCCAGCCGTCACCAGACCTGGCCGTGTTGCTGTGAGCACAAATTGCGTGGATCGACCCGACAACGGTCCAGTCCGGAAAGGAGCCAGACGGCCAGACAATACTTACCCCAGACAACACTAACACTGCCCCCCGACGGGAGACTGAGCGATAAACTGGCCGAGAGCGCCGTCCACGACTACCCTCGATCATTAGTTCTTCCTTTCTTTTGGCACCTGGCTTCAAGCCGACAGCATGGATACATACATTCAGCACCGCGAACGCCAAACCCAGCATCGACCTGATTTTTCCCCATACAATTAGCATTGCCATTGCCTTGTGATGAGGTTCACTCAGAACATCCAGGGTCGAGCGCACAGGGTAGAAAAGTTCCGATTCAGCTCGGCCTTATGCCCCATCTGGGCCAGCTGGACGTCATCATCCTCATTCTCGAGGGGCGGTTGCTTCTTCTCGTCCACGTCCATCATTACTGTTGTCATGATTCAGATCCGAAATTATCAGGAATTGACACCAGCCAAAAAAAAAAAAAAAAAAAAAAACCGGTGAGACTCACAGGCGGATACAAGGCGGGGGGAGACAAGTCAACTTAAATCGCCGAGAGGAGGGAAAGAAGGTAGGTTAGTAAGTATCGGCGATTGACACGCATCGAAATCTAAGGATGCATGCGGTATGTCCACCCAGGGTTGCGGGGGAAGCTTAATTTACTTTGGCGGGCCGGGATGAGATGACACCATAAGCCAGACGGTACGCTAAGACGATAAGCGGTTCAAATCGTTTGGTGCATTCACTCATCTCCTTATATATGCTTCTCTCCTGCATGGGGAGACAATGTACGCGGTAGTCATCAGGACGATAGCTAATTGACATACTGGGGCCACTGCAAAGCCCGCTGCAGGCAGAATTCCATCGCATGAGGGCTTATCGGGCCAATCAGCGGGTGGGATGCCGTCCCCGCCTGGACATGCCCGATTGGGGGATCTTTTCATCTTCAACAATCTATCGAGGTCGGTGGTTATCTGGGGGTGATTACTCTGGGATCTTCGGTGATGGTGATAAGATAGATGACCACCAAGGCTGAATAACTAGTTAAATCACTAATTATCTGCTGCAGTCAGGGGGCAGGTTGTTGCTGCTCATGCAGCCCTAATCCCGGATTCATGTCCCCGCGCGCGGTGGGTCGCTCGCAGCTCGAACTGGCGATAAGAGAAGTGGATTTGCTTGTGTAGTATGTTTGCTATAGAGTAGACAACCTCGCTATCTCGCCGCTCAATATCTGGCGCAGTTTGGTATTAGCCCTGCTTGCATCCTTTTCACATCATGATCAATGTCTTGCGGATAGAGTCAGTACCTTTGTGAACTTTGAATAATCTGAGACCTCTTCGAATGAGCCTTGCATCTCACGTGATGCGGCGGCCAGCTCAACCCCCAGCCATCTTATTCCACAGTTGATGAATGTTGTTGATCTGCAAATCTGGAGTAGAACGCCTCCTAGCCCGTAGTCCCATGCGTTGAATGTTGGAGTGGATCTGGTAGCCGTCAAGCATGAGGACTGACTTTCAAAATGATGATTCTTAGGACTTATCACTGACTGTTTCACTGTTTCACCGGCTCACTTGACGGACCTCCATCAGCAGATCATTGTGCGCATAACCCATTAACCCCAATTCATCGGACAAATCACTCGTCAATCATGTCGACTACAGACACATGTGGCAGAGACTCACTCCGACCAAGTGGTCTCCAATCGTTGAAAGTCTCCGCTTATTCTCAACGCGACTGGAACGCTCTAATAGCGTCGGGCTACTGCGCGACCAAGCTCCCGGATCAATGCATGCAAATCCGGACTCTCCTCAATCAAACCCCGTCCATCCCGCCCGCTGCAGAGGTCCCTGACTCTGTGGGAGGAAGTGTGCTTGTCTTGCAAGGCGATTCCAAGTGGTCTGTATCTCCGGTTACTCGACCGATGAATAGGGAATGCGAGCTAGATGCAACAAAGACTTGCTGTCCTTGAAGTGCGTGTATTGGGGTGTTGCGGCCAAATACGTAAGTGCTGCCGAGTGAATACGTTCCGCAGTGGCCTGGCTTCCAGTCTTCACCGCAGTCCTCCGGTAATTACCTTGCATTGTTGGTTTTAGGCTGGTCGTATGTCTTCTCTACTCGGCTAGTGGAGCTGCGGTGCACGACGTCCGAGGACGAGGTTGTCTACACAGATAACGTGGTACGCTGGTCCACGGGGGACGATTTTGACTTGAACGAGCATTCTAGTCTACAGCTTGGTGACCTTCCACCGGCCGAACTGCGCTGGTGGGCTGCCATCCTGGCAGGCGAATGTGGACGGCGCGCGTCGGTGACTCGAGATGGCAAGGAGTATCACCCTTCGAGGGAGTGTCATCTTGCCTCTAGCTACTTTATGTCGCAATTTTACTGCATCTCTCTGCTGTTGAGATATGTTTCCGTGTTGTGCTTTCCATGGCAATAGCTCATTGATCGAAGTATCTGTGAACTCGGTGTTTTGTGGATTGTATGCATTTCTTTTTGCCACGCTCCGATCTTGTCATACTTGATTGGCGCAATCCTTGCTCGGGGAGCAACGATCAGACCGATCGCGCGTGGTTGGAACCCGTAGCCTCGATGGTTATGCTAACGGTTGAATGGCTCTGGCATTACTCTGCAATTGAATGATCTCAGCTTTATCAGCGATCATGACTTGCGGGTTGTCGGACACTACCGTTTCTTTTCTCACGCATTTGTGTTCAGTCTTACCTGCGACAAATGATAGAACAAACATCAGTTCGAACCTTCAGGCAGTTACCATAGTATGCTACAATACTCAGATGGGCTGAATGATAATCAGAGTGTTACTTACCTTCGGTTTCGAAATTGGGGGCAGAATTGATTTATCAATAACGACGAGACGATCGCCTGTGAATTCTATACGAGATGAAAGATGGTTAAGGAAAAGCGTGCATCACACACTCCAGAATTGTTGCACCTACCCCTAAGAGACCTGATGCGTTCAGGCGGGTGGAAGTGCTCAATTCTTGTTTACTTGATGTGCGTGTGTGTACGTGTGCGTATGGACTGGAAACGCATCAGCGAACGATATACTCACGAAGCATATCCTCAAAGTACCAGGAGAGAGGCACCTCCTCGATAGGGGCGAAGTGATAGCATACCCAACCATTCTCATTGTTCTGGTAGTACCCGAGACGCCGAACGCACTTGGCATGGTAGGCGTCGGCCTGCTCCTCGGGCCAGTCCACCGTGGTTTCGGTGCTGCCGCACTGGAAGCGCAGCCGGTAGTGGCCCGGGGCCAGCGGCGGCGCGGTGAGCGGGAGGTCCGCTGATCTCCAGAATTGAATGAGATGATGGTCATCTAGAAAGAAGAAGACCTTCTTTTGACCTGCTGCAAATCTATAGAGTTCCATTTTGCTCACAGAGGCCTGTCGAGGCTCTCTATGAGTGTGATGTCTTTCGCAGAAGAGATGGACTTCGATTGGGTCGGGCTGTGGCTCAACCTCGTCAACGAGGTCCTGCGTGGTGGAAGACATGATTGCGAGTGGGGAAATCAATATGCGAAGTGGGGAAACGGTGTTGGTGTTGGGACCTGGGTCTGGGACTCGGGTCTTTATGAGGGTCGAACATCCTGGAAAAGGCACTAATATGTATAATTCCTACCAAAGGAACTGCAAAGGCAGTGGGATCATGATTGCGAACTCACCATAAGTCTCAATAAGATTCTCTGCCGTTACTGATTACTTCCAGCAAGTTCCGGATTCCCTTTGTCAGGCACAGAGAGACAAAGAGGTAAGAGTGTAGAACTAGGACAGAGATGCAGAGAATGGCACGATACTTGCTATCTAGACCAAGCAAGCGAGGACTTTTATTGACCGTGAGCCTGACCTCAGAGAAATTATGCCAGTGGGTGCTCAAGACGAAGGCATTGGGTTTCCTCCACTTTCTGTGTATGGGGAAAGATGAGAGAGCGACAAGAATGTTACACTGCGCGCTAAAAAGAATACCAGACATCACAATAGCGGTTAGGTATTTTAACTCCTGTCAAAAGGACTTGCAAAACCTGAGAGATATCGACTCTCAGGATTGGCATGGCATTCTCGGATAAGAAATAGTGGTAAAATTGGAAAAGAAAGGCCAGTTGAAAAGGACAACAGAGATCGTCTGTTTAAACACTCTATAAAAACAAGATCAAGCAGTAGCGCATATCACGGTAGCATCAAGTGGCAAAGTCCCCACCTCGCAGAACGAGATGTCTCAAATGGATGGGAATGGGAATGCTGACTTTTTATCTGCCTGACGCGCGGGACAATGGGTCAAGAGGTACCGAGCGAACGTGTACTTATAATATTGCGCCAGAGGCCTTCCCTCGACCAGGTCATAGACAGTGGCCTGTCTATCGCGGTAGTATTTCCCCATGGGGGTGATTTGGGAAGGCCCCTTCCAGTAGTAGCCGAGTCCCTTGGCAAACTTGGCGAAATAGGCCTCAGTCTGCTCCTTCGGCCAGTCCACCGTGGTTTCGGTGCCGCCGCATTGGAAGCGCAGCTGGTAGTGGCCCGGGGCCAGTGGCGGGGCGGCGGGGTGGCCCAAGAGCTTGGAGCATGTATCTTGCACTTTCTGGAGACGCGAGCGCTTGAGGTCCTCCGGCTTCCAGATCTGCACAAGGTGATGGTCATCTGTGAAGAGAACTGTCTCCTCTTGCTCCCCGGCGAACTTGTAGATCTCCTCACAGGTCAGCTCCTCTCTGGGCGCACCGTGAGTGTGCTCCCCTTCACCAAAGAGGCAGACTTCTGTCGGAATGGATGGCGACAACGGCTGCTGCGGCTTCTCAATACTGTCAGACATTTTCACAGGTTAGAATTTGTTTACGACAGAGTTGATGCTTTAGTATAAGAGTTGGTCCTCTACTATGTGTTTGAGCCGGTTGACGAACCTAGGGTCGATCGGTAGAACACTATTGATATACTTTCTTGGGGACATTCTGAGAGAGCAGCTTGGGTTGATTATGGTTACTTTCTTTCAAGGAAGCTTTTTGTCATCCATAAATAACAATCTGCTTCCTAATGAATACCTCCGTCGGACACGGACAGACAAAAGGTCACAGTATAACGCCAAGTAAAATCTCTGGGAGGCAAGGTCTTCAATTCTTCTCCGCCATCTCAAACATGACCAAGGGCCTCTGCCGTAAGTAGAAGTAAGACAATGATACCATCGAGTACTATTGTGGACAAGGGCATTGTCTACCCAGTATGGACTCTTTCAGCACTTGTGGATTATGAAAAACATAGAAACATAGAAACATACAAAAATAAAGGCTTGGTGGGATAACACCAGCGCTATACTAATGCATGGAGACCTTAGATATTTATCCTTTACTTTTTTCTACTTTTTCTTAATCTTCAAGTTTATTTTGGATTAAATACTGGATCTAGTAAGGCTAGGCACGACAGCAAGAATATATATTTCTTTATCAAACTCTAGACTTGTTTTAAAAAGAACCATAAAGTTAAAACCGATTCTCGTTCTTCAGTATATACTTCAAGCTATTGATTTGCATATGCTAAGTATACTGTAATATCTAAGGGTATTCAGTAAAGATTGACCCCTTGGCAATAAGTACAGCACTATGTGGGCTGATAGCTGTTGCTACAGAATAAGATACTGTAGGCTCTTGTTTTACAAGAAGCTAACATTCTAATCAAAACTAACACTAATATAAAGACCCTGCAAGAGTCCTATGTCTATAAAAAGCAGGGCCTGTTCAAAATTACTTTTTTTTAATTTTTCTATATCTTTGATAACCAAGTTACAGTACTGAAGTATTTGGAGATACTGTATATGAAACATCGGTAGGCTTGTAAGTGTAAACCAAAAACCTTAGAAATACTGACTGACTCTCAGAAGTGGCTTGGTATTGTGAAAGGAAAAATAGTGAAGAAGCTTAAGAAGGTTTACTTAGAAAGACGAGAAAAATCGTCCGTTTAAATTCTTTATGAAATCTGAGAGGTCAAGCAGAAGCACATATCACAGTAGCTTCAAGTGGGCTGGGTTCCAACTTACAGATCGAGATGCCTTGAATGGATGGAAGCCCTACTTCACTTGTCATTTGCCTGACGCGCGGGACAATGGACCTTCAAACAGACGCGAAGATCCCCAAGAGCGCGTCGTCATCAAAATAATGCGACAGAGGCTTCTCCGTTTTCGCGTTAGTCACATAAGACGACTCCCGGCCGGAATTCGGCCTCCGGTAGTGGCCGGCCTGCCTGGCGAACTTGGCATGGTAGGCATTGGCCTGCTCCTCCGGCCAGTCCACTGTGGTTTCGGTGTCGTCGCACTGGAAGCGCAGCCGATAGTGGCCCGGAGCCAGCGGCGGAGTGGTGGGGGGGTGGGGGAGGCACGAGAGCTGCGAGCAATGGGCCACCATCTGGAGAGGCGAGCGCTCGATCTTAGCGACGTCCTCTGGCCGCAGGATCTGAATAAGGTGATGGCCGTCTGTGAAGAAGATCACCTCCTTCTGCCCCTTGACGAATTCGTCGAGATTGTCAAGTCCCGGGTCTTCGTTCAGGTCCAGGACCTTTCTGGGCGCACCGTGAGTGTGTTCCCCTTCACCGACAAGATGGATCTCGGCCATGCTGAGCTGCTGCTTCTCCTGCGGCTCAATATGGCCAACCGGTTTCTCGGTGGTGTCAGACATTTTCCCAGGTCAGAATGTGTTTAAGACAGGCGTGCGTGTTTTGGTATAAGAGTTGATCCTTTACTCCGTGTAAGAGTTGGTTGAGTTAGTTGAATAAGCATAAGTTAGATAGAAGGCGGTTTATATACCTCCCACTAGGGGGTAAGTCTGAGAGGGTAGCTTAAGTTGACCATAGTGGTTATCTTCAGTACAGCTCTTTGTGATGTGTGGAGGAACGGACTGAAGACTTCCGTCAGACTCCATTCAAGCGAGCTTAAGTCGATCGTAGTGGCTATCTTCAGTACAACTCTTTGTTCTAGTAAGGACAGTCTGCTTCCCTAACAAACCTCCCTCAGACACAAGTCAAGGCTTTGAGAAGCGAGGTCTTCTCCGCTATATCAAACGTAGCTAAACAACTTGTGCTAAAACTAAACCAATAAAGCGGTTGAGTACCTTTCTAGACAAGGAGATTGTCATTGACAATTCTTTCCCCGGTTACGGAGTACTGCGCATAGAAAAGTGAAGCGGAGAGCGAAGAAACAATGTAGGCTTGGCGGGATGACGTCATGGCGGTGCAGGACTAATGCTGGAAGACCTGAGGCACTAAGGCTCCAAACCAGCCTTCCCGTTTTCTCCTCCCATCACCATCTCATCGTTTTCGTTTCGGCATCTTTTCACAATCCTGCCTGCAGTCATCTACGACTACGACCTTCCTCGTTGCTCCAGAGATGAGACTCCCCAAAATTCAGCATCTGGTGCACCATGTACCCTCATCTTAACCTTTCTTCAGCTGGAGGAAGGCGGGCCCCGGCGGGATCCCCCCCTTTCGTCCCATTCTCTCTTCATGCTTAGCATGCTTGGTGTCGCAAAGCCAATTCTTCATCATCCTTCGTACCGCACATGCAGAAGGGAAATGCCGTCTAATTCAGGTCCCAGTCCGGGGCCCCGCACCCCAATGAGGCATAGCAGCCTCAGTCGGGCGCTAAACAACCGGTTTGTGTCGGGCCATTGTCGCCTGCTGAAGAAGAATGGGAAAAACCCCGGCGGCACAAGGGCCTCGGTTAGCCCTAGTTCTCCTAGCCCGCGATATCTTCACGATGCTGCCTGCCACCCATGCGGGGTACCTGCGACTCGCCTCCAATGACCCCGTCGGGATAGAATTGTCATTCTGCAGCGTCGCATGATCCGCTGCCAACATTTGCGCATCAGAGGTGGAACAAAATGTTCCGTCCAAGTGGCTTAATCGAGTGTCCCTGCCACCGTGACGCATTGGGATGATGATGGCCGGGAATCTGCAAGGGACGGGGCGTGGTATAAAATCCTTTCCTGTTCCTGGTTTCCTTCCAGGGGCCGCTCAAGCATCTCGCACAGTCTCTCCACATACCGTCCTCCAAGATGCCTTCACGACGAACCCTCCTAGGGCTGGCGGCCACGAGCACTTTGGTCAGCGCCGGACCCTGCGACATCTATGCCTCCGGTGGGGCGCCTTGTATCGCTGCGCACAGCACCACTCGTGCTTTGTACAGTGCCTATTCCGGCCCCCTTTACCAGGTCATCCGTGGCTCTGACAGTGCCACCACCGACATCAAGCCCCTCACTGCTGGTGGGGTCGCGAATGCCGCCGCCCAGGACACCTTCTGCTCTGGCACCACCTGCCTGATTTCTATCATCTACGACCAGTCCGGTAGTGGCAACGATCTCACCCAGGCGCCTCCTGGTGGCTTCGATGGGCCCGAGTCCAACGGCTACGACAATCTGGCCAGCGCGATCGGCGCCCCCGTCACCCTGAACGGCCAGAAGGCGTACGGTGTGTTCGTCTCGCCCGGCACCGGCTACCGCAACAACGACGCCAACGGCACTGCCACCGGCGACGAGGCGGAGGGCATGTACGCCGTCCTGGACGGCACCCACTACAATGATGCCTGCTGCTTCGACTACGGCAACGCCGAGGTCAGCAGCACCGACACGGGCAACGGTCACATGGAGGCCATCTACTATGGCACCAGCAAGGCCTGGGGCTATGGGTCGGGCAGTGGCCCGTGGGTCATGGCCGATCTCGAGAACAACCTGTTCTCCGGGCAGGCCGAGGGCCTCAACTCGGCGGACCCGTCCATCTCCTACCGGTTCGTGACGGCCGCCGTCAAGGGCGAGCCCAACCAGTGGGCCATCCGCGGTGGCAACGCGGCCTCAGGCTCGCTGACGAGCTACTACAGCGGCGCGCGGCCCACGGTGAGTGGCTACAACCCGATGAGCAAGGAGGGCGCGATCATCCTGGGCATCGGCGGCGACAACAGCAACGGCGCCCAGGGCACCTTCTACGAGGGGGTGATGACCTCGGGGTACCCGTCGGACGCGACGGAGAACTCGGTGCAGGCCAACATCGTGGCGGCCAAGTACGCGACGACCTCGCTGACCAGCGGCTCGGCGCTGACGGCGGGCTCGTCGATCTCGCTGCGCGTCACCACCACGGGGTACACGACGCGCTACCTGGCCCACAACACCACCAACATCATCACCTCGGTCGTCTCCTCGTCCAGCTCCTCCACCCTGCAGAAGCAGGCCAGCTGGACCGTCGTCACGGGGCTGGCCAACTCCGGCTGCTTCTCCTTCGAGTCCGTCGACACCCCCGGCAGCTACATCCGCCACTACAACTTCGAGCTGCTGCTCGCCGCCAGCGACGGCACCAAGCAGTTCAAAGAGGACGCCACCTTCTGCCCGGAGTCCGGCCTCAGCGGCTCCGGCACCTCCATCCGCTCCTGGAACTACCCCACCCGCTGGTTCCGCCACTACAACAACGTGCTCTACGTCGCCAGCAACGGCGGCGTTCACACCTTCGACTCCCAGACCTCGTTCACGGCCGATGTGACCTGGTCGATCAGCTCGGGCTTTGCGTCCGCGTAGATCGAGGTCCGGCGCTTGGGGACATGATGGGCCGGGAGATGTTTGATGATTATGCTTGATGCAGATGTGGAATACGTTTGGAGGTGAATCCTTGTAAATATGTTGTTATCTTCCTTACCGTACAAATTCAGTATGACTTTGAATTACCCACGGTGTTTGAGTCTTTAACTTGGATTCTTGTAGTGCCCGACTGTGACTCATGTAGGCTGTTGTAGCGTTCAGAGTGGTGCATGGAATATATAGTAAGCCTTGAGGAGACTATTCAACTCCCGACGTACACACAATCTCGACAGAACTGTTAGAGAACTCGATAGAGACAAGTGATAGCCCGTAAAGGATCGAGACACACGACCATCAAGCGACCCCGACTGCGAATTCACTCTGTCTGTGCATCAGATGGCCAGGGGCTATGACGTCATTGTGCATGATTTCCGTGCCAAGTTTTCATCCACAGGTCAGTCGTCGACATAGTGCCGGAGAAACACACCCCGAAGCGCATATTCATGGTGCTGAGCCTGGTTCATCGATCGAGCGGGTCTTTGGATGGATGGTCCAAGATGGAGGAAGTGGCATGTGTGGATGAAGCAAAAGCCATGCCTTGACCGCCTTCGTGGCTGCTTTCTGCCGGCAGGATGATTAACTGCCGACCGCCTACGTGTATCTCCATTATCTGAGTTGTCGACATCACCCATCGTCCCCAATGTCTCTGGAAATCGAATCTACCATCTGCTGAGCCAACTATGTCTTCTCGATGGTTGTATTCTTCTAGGGACCATTCAAATGGCGGAGGTTCTACGCCATATCAAGGTGTTTAACATACCGATAAGCATCATCGCGAAAGTCGCAACAGACCACAAATGAAAAGAACATATGGCACGCTGATCACAACCACGATAGCCACAGAGTCCCAAAATGACCGGCACGTGCCGGATCTAAACTCTGAAGCACAGCTGGCTGCTCGCGAGGGCTGAACGTCGAATCTGATTTCAGGATCCCGCCGCCTCTCGCCAGGATGCGAGCTTTGGGGCCGCCCCCAACAGTGCAACACCAGAAGCCGTCCCGATTTGCCCCTGGCGACCATCCGAATCCCATCGAGGGTACGCCTCGATATGTGTGGTCCGTCAAGTGTCGTGCCTGGCAGCGAGACTCCTCTCACGTCGACTTACGCAGGAACAGCGAGCCGGCTGCCGCGTGCCCTGGCTTTCGCCCCCATGCGACGCAGGAACCGGATTCGACCGCTCAGGGGAAATTCTTGAGCGTGAGAGCTCTGCTCTTTCTTCTTTCTTCTTGCAAACTTTGTGGGTTGCGTGTCTTCATGCCTGTATGGGCTGTCAGTCGTTCATTCACTCACTACATTGACATTCGTTGAAACCCGATTCTCGCGACTCACTCATTCCCTTGCGTGAGCCAGTCATTCTTTGCTCTCAGTCTGTCCTTACAACCGCCCCCCAAAAAAGCACAATGGCAAGCAAGCTTGCACACACTCTTTTCACCATCGCGAGCGTGGGACTCCTCGCCTCCGCGCAGCTCGCCGTGGACACCACGCCCGTGACGGCGGCCGCCTCGGTCGAGACGGTCTCCATGATCGACGCCTCAGGCCTGCCCATCACGACCGTCTCCGACGCCGCCGACAACGCCTGGTACATCCCACTGACGGGGCCCGCCAGCGCCGCGACCGCCGCCTGGGGCGCGAGCGCGCACATCCACCGCGACGGCGCCGCGCTGCTGCCCATCACCTTCGGCACGGCACCCAGCAGCACCCCCACCGTCCACAAAACCAGAAGCCTCTCCCCGGAAACCAGTGCCTTGCCCACCGCGACCGTCTCCCCGATCGGCAGCCCCTCCGGCGACGAATCGACCACCGCCTCCCTCGAAATCGCCCTCAACCCCGAAGCGAACGCCCTCCTCCTCGGGACCGACACCAGCCTCACCATCTCGAGCACGGTGATCGCGACCGCCGAGAACCCCGCGAACATCAGCACAACGAACCTGACCACCCTCCCGGTCGGCATGAACCTCGGGTTCGGGACACAGTGGCCGGGCGCCCTCGTCTTCGGCGGCAACTACGACGCGAACCGCATCTGGAACGAATCGCACTGGCAGACGACGCCGGAGACGAGCGCGGGCAATTCGACATTCACCCAGACCGGCACGCAGCTGCTCAGCAGCGGCGTCCAGCTCAAACTCTACCCCACGCCCGACCCCACACCCAGTACGAATGCAACCTACCCCTTCGACACCGCCGCCGCCCCCACAACCACATCCGCCATCCTCCCCGCCACCCTGAACTTCACAGCCGAGACCCTCACGGTCCCCGACGCGAGCTTCTGCGCCCGCAATTTTACGGTCGTATTCAACCCGGACCGCGCGACCTACCCGCTCTTCGAGATCCCCGTCTGGGCGGATCTGGTGCCGGCGGGGCAGCGCTGCGTTGTGGGGACTGGCGAGGAGATTATCCTGGGGAGGCCGTTCTTCCAGGCGGCGTATGTGTATATCACCGACGTCGGGGATCTGTATTTCAGTTCGATCCGGAGGGATGGGGGGGTGGGGGTTGCGCCCAAGGAGTTTGATTTGCATGCTGTGCTGGGGGCTGGGGAGGGGGGGGATGTGTACGCTAATGCGACGGCGGAGGAGGCCGGGATTAAAGGGAGTGCGGTTTCGGGGGAGGGGAGGGTGATGATTACAGGTAGTGTCTGGGTGGTTGTTGCTGTGGGGGTGGTGGTGGGGTGGGTGGTTTAGCTGGGGGGTTTGTTGAGGGGACGTGTGGTGGATTTTAATTTGTTTGTTTGCGTGTTGGATAGAAGTGTTTCATATACCCATTCAGAAGATTATACTGGGTTACCATCCAGCACGAGGACGAGGACGAGGACGAGTACGGGGGGTAAGAGAAAGAGAACTTGATTCCGTGCTCATGATCCGAAGGGAACCCTCACATGCATACCCCCAGGCCCCCGTAGCCAGCCCTCCGGCAACAGCAACGTCAACAGCACCAGACAAGAAACAGACCCGCTGCATTCCTCCATCCTTCCGTCAAGTATTCCCAAAGGCCAAACCCGCTAATCCAAACCAAATCATCACAATCATAACCCATCCCAAAACGCCATCCATACCAGTCATCATAATGCAGGAGAGGACTCAATCCCACTCCATCGCCGCCCTACAACCCACCCCCAATCCCACCAAACCCGCGTTAGGGTTGATTCTCCACCACGTATGCATCGCCCGGCAAGCATCACATCACATCACATCACATCACCCCGCAAATCCACCCCACCAGAGGCAAAAGTTACTGGAGATCATACACGACCAGCGCGCGCTCGATGTCCTGGAGCGTCTCCTTGTCGCCGTAGGCGTCCATCAGGGCGCGGTTCTTGCGGAGACGCTCTTCTTCTTGTTGTTGGTAGAGTTGATTCTGGAGGGACTTGGTGGAGGTGGAGGTGGGAGAGGTGGCGGTGGCGGTGTAGTGGTTGTAGGCGCCGAAGCCTGTTTTCTGTTAGTTTGGAGGGCTTTGGGAGGGGGGGGAGAGATGGAGTGGGATTTGAGGGATGAGAGGAGTGTGGAGGCACGTACCGAGAGCGATGGCAGCCATCAGGGGCAGATACCAGCGGCTGGGTTTCTTGAGGGAGGCCGGGTTGATGTGCGGGGTGCTTTTGAAGAAGGGGCGGGGGTGTGGGGGGGAGAGGTTCATCATTTTGTTTGAGTGGATTATCGATTGAAGTCAATGATAAGAGTTGTGAGTGTGGTGGTAGAGTAGAGTAGAGTAGTTTCAGTAAAATTGTGGTTGAATAATGGATGGTCAAAGTCTGGTTGACCCAAGTCCAACCGATGGGTGAATTGGGTTTATAAAGTCGAGGTACGGAAGAATGCATCACACCCACGTATTTGTGGCCTGATCGGGGGTAGTCGATCCGTCATACGATGCCCCCGTCGATCCCGCTTTCTGGGGTATATTACGATGGAGGCAGTGCCATTGGCTGACTGGGTCAAAGGTGGAGCCGATGATGAAGAATCGCATGCACTCGTCGTCTCACTCCACCGTCGAAATCCTTTTTCCGGGTGTGCTGATCCTGTGCCCTCGGTGCCTTGGGGGCTTGCCGGGGGGGAACTCGGGAGGGGATATCGGGTGATGCTGCGGAGTATGGGTGGTCGTCAGGGAATAAGTGGTCTGTGCACTCTTCACTCTGGTTGACTCTGTCTTCTGTTGCTATTATGTGGGTTTTGTCTAGAGGGGGTATTGGATTCTAGAAGAGTATGCTACAAGTATAATGATCCTGCGTGCCAAAGGGGTGGGTGGGCGTGAGGATGGCCGGATAGGGAGTTGGTGTCTTTTTAGGGTCAGGGCTGGACTCATGCAGCTGCATCACACTCTCTACATGATACACTTGTCGCTCCTCAGCGCTTACAGGCAACAGACTCTTCTTGTTGCGGATTTAGGATGGCATGAGGATCCTGCTAGGTACAGTACGGTCACAGCCGACCACACACTAATACCGTCGATAAGTTACAATCTGCCACCAAGACCATCTTCAGCAAAGGTGACAGTACTACCGCTTCAAGCTTAGACCTATATACACAAACCAGAATGCTACTCCAACGGCACGGTATCCACAAAGCACGTCTTCAGCGCCTCCTCCCCATACCTCCCCCCCAGCACCTCAACCTCATCCACCACCGCCCTAACCCTCGCAACCTCCTCCTCCGTCAACCGCACCTCCAACGCCGCGACGTTCTCCACCAAAGCTTCAGGACGAGTCGTCCCCGGAATGGGGAAGATATCGTCTCCCTGCGCCAACAACCACGCCAACACCAGCTGACCGACGGTACAGCCCTTCTCGTCCGCAAACCCGCGCAACCGCTCCACCAACTGCAAATTCTTCTCAAAATTCCCCTCCCGATACCGCGGCATCCCCAACCGCAGATCCCCCTCGGGGAAATCGGCCCGCGACCGGATCCGCCCCGTCAGGATGCCCCGGGAGAGCGGCGAGTACGCCACGACGGCCACGCCCAGCTCCCTCGCGGTCTTGAGCAGGTCCGTCTGCGGGGACTCGATCTCCAGCGAGAAGGGCGAGTACTCGACCTGCACGGCGGCGATGGGGTGGACGCGGCAGGCCCGCCGGAGCGTCGCGGCGCTGACCTCGCTCAGCCCCAGGTACTTGATCTTGCCGGCGGATTGCAACTCGGCCATCGCCTGCACGGTCTCCTCGACGGGGACGGCCGGGTCGAGCCGGTGCGCGTACAGCAGGTCGATCTGCGAGACGCCCAGTCGCTGCAGGCTGCGCTCGCACGAGAACAGGCACCGGCCGCGCGAGCTGTCGATGATCATCCGCCCGTCCTCGAACTCGGCGCCGAATTTCGTGGCTAGGAAGATCTGCGGTCGTTTGCTCGGGTTGGCGCGCAGCCAGGTGCCGAGGAGCGTTTCGCTGTCGAGGTAGAGGGCCGCTGTCTTTTGGTGAGTACTGTGCTCGCATGGGAAGTGTGGGGAGGACTGGGGTGGTAAAGGAGGGGCGGGGGATGTACCCGAGTCCCAGAAGGTCTCGCCCAGTTCGTACGCCTTGTCGAGCAGGGCCAGGCGCTCGGCGTCGGGCTTGGTAGGGCCGTAGAAGGCACTCAGGCCCATCGTGCCGAAGCCGAGGCGGGGCACGGAGGGGCCGTCTTTGCCCAGGGGTCGGGTTTCGAGGTGGCTTGACATTCTGGGGTGGTTTTCTTCTGCTGGAGTGGAGTCGTGTTTTGGCCGTGCGAATGCGACTGACGGTGCTAGATATATTTGTGCTTAAACATAGTCTATCGAGCGTACTGTCCGGATATACCGGATTTTACGGATTTGCCGCTGTCATCATCGACTGGCCGTGCCGGAGGAGGTCCAAAGTGGGTCTGGTATCTTGGTCCGAGGTTGCTGATTGGAGGGTAATGGACTTTATGCACCCTGCATACGGAGGTTATGCTCGGTCTACGAGGTGGTGCTATAGCGGGCGGACTTAATCGGTTTTGCGTGGACGATCTGCGTGGGGCTTCGACCCGGAGCACATCGGCTCATGCCTTGGTTCTGTGTACAGTATAATGTATGCATTGGTTATCCATAAAACAAGAACATAGAGGGGATTGTCTCAATCGAAGTAAAATGCCGAAAACGTCTCACACGGATAATGCTTGTTAGTTGTCTACCGGCTAGGGTTGCCTTTGTATACTGACTGTAAACCTCCTGGTTCTCAATGTTCGGTGCCCTGCCTAGACGACAATCGCCACCATAGACACCACCGTGATCACGACAACAGTCTCGTTTCAACAATGGTCTGCAATGGGCATATACAAAGAACACAGCCGATGATCCTCAGGAACACTCAACACACACCTCAGCAACCCTCAGATTTGAGGCCCCTTGCGATACATATAAATATCCACATCTAGCCCAGCCAACGGAGAACCAAACCCACGAAACAGTGCTCGGGCAACAACTACTCGATCCACCAACAACCCTAAGGTAGGATAATACTACCTACACACTGACTTTGGTTCAGAGCGTCCCAAAAATGCCACCGTCTAAGTCCCGGACCCGGGCCCAGTCCAAGGCCCCCTCCCAGCCACCGCCCCCGATCCCGATCCCGCGAGTGTTTGGCACTGGCAGCCTCCCCTACGGAGGCCTGCCGGGCCGGTGCTTCTACGGGCCCGAGGACCCGCCGGGCCACTTCGACGCGGGCGTGACCAACGGGTTCTTGAGCCAGCAGCTGGAGGCCAGCGTCAGCTGGGACGGACACCACCTGCTGCAGCTGCTGGAGCAGAAAGACATCGAGTGGATGCGGATGCTGGACGGCGCGCGGCCGCTGGTGCTCGAGCCGGACCAGTACCTCGCGCGCTTCTGGTGCCGGACCGACGCGGAGACCTACTACTTCATCTGCACCAAGCTGCAGGGGCTGGAGTACTGCTCCCAGTACGTCAAGTGGGTCAACGTCAAGAGTCCGCTGTACCCCGTGGTCCAGGCCACGACGGGGCCGAGCTTGCGGCAGCTGCACGTCGAGCTGGGCGAGCAGTTCTACCAGATGGAGGGTGAGCTACGTCTGCAACTTGAGCAGCAGAAGCAGCCGTGGCAGTTCGTACACATTACACCGGAGCTGTATCCACAGCAGCAGCAGCAGCAGCAGCAGTTGGAGGAGGCGCGGGATGTGCTGCGGGTACCGAGTGTGCTGCCCGGTGTGCAGCAGGAGGGTTTGGGGCAGCAGAAGCAGCAAGAGCCACAGCAGTTCCAGCAGTTCCAGCAGTTGTCACAGGAGCGGCCTCAACAGCAGGCGCAACAGGAGAAGCAGGCGGACGTAGTGGATCTGACCCAAACCCCGCAATGATGGGTTACGGGTACGCACCTGCTGTTTACTAAATGTCAGGTAAGGGCTAACATATCCCGTTCCCTACCTTAAAACCACAGCCACACCAACAATACAATTTCGCCCTCTCTGCGAGGTTCATTCATATTCAATCGATCTCCACATAGTAAACTACCCAAGTACCACCAGTAATCCCTGCCCCAACATCCCCAAAACAACCCTAACCCCCCTAATAACCCCCCTACTCCCCCCCAAAGACCTCCACCACCTCCCTAAGGTCAACAACATCCACAAACCTTCCCAAAACCCTCTCGACCACAAACGCCCCCACCTCCGCCTCCTCCTCCAACACCCCCTCCCGGACCACAACAACATGCAAATCCAAATCCGCCCCGTGGCGCGCGGACCCCAACACCGCCCCGACAGCCGTCAGCCCCACCAGCACGACATGCCGCACCTCCCGCGCCCGCAGGTACGCCCACAGATCGGAGGAGCCGAACGAGCTCACCTAGAACTTAGGGAGCAGGATTTCATCCGGTCCGCCCCAGCCGCCGGGCGGGAGGAGGGGGTCGGGGACGGGGTAGATCGGGTGGGTGGGGTCTTTGTGGGCGGGGGACGGGGGCGGGAGGACGCGCTGCGCCCAGGTGGAGAGTTTGTTGTAGGGGGAGATGAAGGCGTTGCTGTTGAGGCCGTGCGGGAGGATGTGGTGGATTATGAGGGGGATTGCTGTGTTGCTGTTGCGGGGGGTGGTGGGGTTGGTGGTGGTGGTGGTCCGGCGGCGGGTGATTTCCTCCCGGAAGAGGGTGAGGAGGGTGTGGATGTCTTGGAGGTAGGGTTCTTGGACTGCCGGGGGGAAGCGGCAGAGAATGTCGGTTTGGATGTCGGTGAGGAGGAGGGCGGTGCGCGAGAGGTCGAGGGGGATGTGGAAGGGGGAGGTGGATGTTGTGGAGGTTGTCATTGTGACTTGGTGGTGATGGTGGTGCTTGGGGAGTGGAGTTTGGGTTGGGATGGTGAGAGGAAGACGAGGTGGATGTTGGGATACTGCTTTATATGTCCTTTTCAATGTTGGGATCTTGCTGATGGCTGGAAGACTGATGTATAGTTAGTGAGAGAAGTGTCTTAAGTGTATACATTGTATACCATGGTGCAGTCGAAGGATGCGCTCGGATCCTCGGATGCAGGTAAGCGAGCTAAGCGAGCCGGGCGCTATACATCCTGGATAACAACAAGGACTCTGACAAAGTGACAAAACTGTCAAATAATAATGCTCCAGCTATCAACAGTCAACTTCCCCCCCCCCCCCCCCCACGCTCCAAAACTAATTCCTGCATGCACCCAGCCCCATCCTGCTCCCACCGCGCCCGCCCCACCACATCAAACAGCAGCGCATCCTCTCGCTCACCGAGATGCATTCTAACAAAACACGCCGAAAACCCATCATCTACGTCCGGATTCGCCCGGACCACGGGGTTTACCCTCTCACCCAGAGACACCAATCCCCCATCCCCTTGTCCCATCTCCCTGTCCAGGAACTGATCCATCGCAGCGTGCGCATTCATAAACGCCGTCCCCCGAAACACGTCCGCCGCACGACCAAGCCTCTCCAGTCGACCTCTCGCCCAGGACCGCCACTCCGCCGTACACCCCAACCCCATCGCCTGGAAGAGCACCATATGCATGACCATCCCCACCTTGGGCTGTCGGAACCGCGCACATTCTTCTGCGACGTCTTCCTCGCCCCAGAGACCTTGTACGATGCGCAGGTTGCGATAGATCAGCGCATAGATACGTTCCTCGCGTTCTTCTGTTTTGTCTGATGCAGGGGAAGTGGCTAGCTCGAGGTAGTCTAGCAGAGCGAGATGCGCGTAAAAAATAGCCATGCTGACAGCTGCGACGTCGGACGTGAAGGTGAGTCTGGCAGGGGGAATGGGGAGTGAGTGTAGTGGTGGAGTTTCGTCCTCGACCTCTTCTAGAAGAATTGGGTGAAGTGGTTGGGGACAGGCCTTGCGGGTCGTTGTTGCGGTTGCTCTCCAGTGGAGGAGTGCTGATCGGAAGGCATTGAGCGATGTCCTGTTTATGGAGGCGGCTGTGTGCTCGATGGGTAGCCACAGGAGCTGGCCGACGTCCCGGTAAAAGGCCACAGTCCGGAGGAGATGGCAGTGCTCCGAGGAAAGGTCTCCGTCGCTGGTGTAGACGAGGCTTGGATAGTGAGGAAAGGGGGTTACGAGTGTTTGCTGCTCTCTGGCCCTGTGGCTAGTCCCACCCCCAGTGCCACCGGTCAGATTTTGAATGGAGAATTGAAGACGCGTGAGAGGGTCCTCGATATATTTGAGATCCTCGGGGTTTCCCGATACAACAAGCTCGCAGAACAGTCTCTGTGCGGCATCAAGATGACGTCCAGCCCCGGGGAGGTTTTTCAGGAATATCTATCTGATAAGGTTAGACACACTCTTTTCTGTATGGCGATGGCTGCTGGGGTGTAATACCTCCACCAACGCAAAGACGATCATTACCACAACGGAGCCAACCCCAACCTGCCGGATCCCGGTGCTGCCCCGCGCAAGGCTCAACGCCGCGGTGTACGCACCCACACCCTGCGCCCTCATTTGACCCTTCTGCGCATGGCCCGCCGGGAGTAGCGCGGCCCGGTGCAGGGCACCGAGACACAGGATCGCCTGGCAGATCAGATCGTCCGCCCACGCCATCTGTGCGACCGTGTCGCGCCAGAATGCAAGCCCATTGCCTGCGAAGAACCGGTGGACGGTGCTGGTCACATACTGGTGGTAGATTGGTAAGAACGCGGTGCGGTGATTCTGGTTTTCAACTGAGCGTACTACGTCTGGCACGTACTGGGCTAGAACCAGGTGGGATGCAGGGGTTGAGGTCACAAGCGCGGCGGAAGATGGTTGGTCTGCATCTGTGTCTCCCGCCAGAACGACAGGCACGACGTGCCGGCTCTGCTGGTAGCCTGCACAGACGAGATTGGCAGTCTGACATCTGTGGCATGTGGGCTTTTCTTCGCTGCATTTGACTCGGCGCCGGCGACAGGTCAGGCATCCTGTTCGTGTGCGCTTGAGACGGGGAGGTGACATGGTAACTTGGGGTGAGGAAGCCAAGGCGCAGTGGAGTTGACTGCAGACCCTGACCCTGACTGAACGATTGTATCTTTGCTGCTTATCCAATGGCGGGGTAATGCATGTCTAGGTTAGATTCACGTGAGAACTCGCTCCTGCCAAGTGGTTTGACGCTAAGCTGGATCCACACACAAGAATGTTACAGATTCTAGAATCGTAGTTTCATCGCACTCAAGCGGACAGAAGTAACTCTGGACAGCGCGAAATCAATTTTGTATGCCCACCAAATGTTGTCACAAACACAATGGCCGACTTCGACAAAGCAAACACTGGCAAATATCAGCCGGCGTCTCTAGGCGCCGTGTCTGCATTGAAGTCCTCGGTGTCGTCTTCCATTATCGCCTCCAAAGACTTTTGCGATATAACATTGACGTTGACGCGTCCAGTAGCCAAGAGTCGGCGCGCAATATCTGCATGACCATTCTTGATGGCAATCCCAATCGGCGTTCTACCTAATTCATCCTCAGCATCAGGGTCCACTTGTGGATGAGCCAACAACTGCTCGACGACCTCGGGGTGACCTCTATCTACGGCAATGTGCAGTGGGGTTCGATGTTCATAGTATGGGATATTCGGACGAATCTTCTGCATAGCCAGCAAGTGGGAGGCGATCTGTGCGTGTCCATACTTGGCAGCTAGGATCAATGGGCTCGATCTGTCCAAGCCGGAATGATTTGGATTCGCCTGTCCTGTACTCAACAGCTCACAAGCTATCTGGCTGTAGCCATGGGAACAGGCATACAACAAGGGCGTCCAGCCTTCCCTATCAGTGTTGTCGATTCGGACCTTGCCGGTCTTGAGTAGCAGCTGGACGATCTCGAGATGACCCATGCCCGCTGCACGTGACAGTGGTGTTCGGCCGCTCCAATCACCCCGGTCACATTGTATTCGGCCACACGCCAACAGGTCCTGGACGAAAGCAAGCCAACCTGCAGAGCACGCACAGGCCAACGGGGTTAGCCCATCATCATACACGCGGTCGATATCGACACGACAGTCTGCAAGGAGCCGAGAAAAGATATGCTCTCTTCCAAGTTCGATTGCCAGACGGAGCGGTGTTCCTTGAGGCCCGCGGGCGGAGCCGTCTGGGTGAACCTTGAGAACCCGGAGCAGAAAGTCGACTACTGTCGGTCTGTCCGCATCAATAGCCTGACATAGTAACAAGTGTCGGTCTTCAGGATTACTTGGTAGGCGCCCAGTTGCCAGCAAAAGACCTCCTAGGGAGGTAATCCGATTGGCAACCGAGAAGAAGATCAGTGGCTGGAGTTTCCGCATTGGTTGTAGGGTCTTTCCGTGCTGAAGTAGCCATGGTATTTCCATCCTCCACATCTTATGAGTCTCCTCGCTGTCTCGAAAGGACTGGCTTGGTGTCAAGATCGCTTCCACTGCGGCCTCGTTCCCTTTCGCCAGAGCAGCCAAAATGGGGTAACGGTACCTCTCGCCAGCTATCTGTAGATCTGGTGTATCCACCAGTACCAAGCCTATTAAACTGGGGAGATTGTGCTCTGCAAGGATATACAAGAGGCTTGCAGACGATGTGTAGCGTCGGATTTGGGCCTGCTCGATCATATTGCTGTGATGAATCCACTCAGTGAGAGGGAAGCCATCGATGAACTTGCTCTGGTTCACCCCACCGCTTTGTGCAGCATCGGCGTGGTACAGAACATTGGAAACTGCATACTGAAAGAACGGATAGCGGGAAATCAGTGCAGATCGTATGTCGCGAGCACTCTCGGATGACGCAACGGGAAGCTCGTCAGAAACACCAAGTGAGCCTCGGATGTCGGTCATCAAATAATTTTGACAACACATTTTGAGTCGTTCATGGCTCAGTGCATTGAAATGGTCATGCTTGTCAGGCCAAAGCTCCCTGATGCCATTCCCTCTTAACAGAAAGTCACGGACGGATTCATGTATAAATTGCACGGTCGCGTGTCGCAACTTGGTTGTCTCGGTCAAACCTTTTGAAGTCGCGAGGATGAACCGCTCCATATCCTCCAGAGTAATGTCATTGGGGTCCCAGGCATCCGTGAGGTCGTCAGGCTGGCCAGAGAGAATGGCAAAGTAGAGCTCTTCTCTTCTTAACGGTCGCTTGCTGAATAGGACCCACTGGATGCACAGCAACAACTCATCCATATTAGCATTGTCGCGAGTCAAGATGTCTTTGAAAAGCTCGCCGAGCTCATTTGGGATATCAGAAAGCCTCTTGCGCAGCGCATGCAGACGACCCCTTTCAAATTCGCGATTGAGAATCTGAACAACAAGAACGGTCCACAGGAAGATGCCTGATGCTTTGCATGATATCTCGGTTCGAATGAGATCAGCTTGTTTACTTCGTCCAATCTTCAATTCGCTGCGCAAGTATCGAGCGATGTCTTCCCCATGGCCGTTTTGGTCATGTAGAATCAACTCGATTCCATTCTCCACTGTGATGAACGGGTACTGCCGGCTAGAAAAGCAAACATGAAGTTTGATCTGCGATAATGTCGCGTATTGTCCCAGTGATTCGAGAAACTCCACCATGGCTCGCACCTGCTCCATTTCACACTCATCAAGCGCATCGATAAAACAAATCAGATGCTTTCCATCAAGTGAGGTCACGGCACAGCGAAAGATCTCTTGAAGTGTTTCGATGTCCGATGAAGAATAGTTCTGTGTGTCATGATTAGATGGCAAAGGCACTCGATCCAATAACACTTGAAGGCCAGGCACAGCATCCATCAACTGCAAGAGCAACGAGCGATACATGCCTTCGGTCGTTCTTTCAAGTTCCTCGCCCCGGGCATTGAAGAAGAATGAGACAATTACAGTATTGTCATTCCTGGTCGCCTGGGCTTGTTGGTATGCAAATTTCATGATGGTTGACTTGCCGCTTCCTGCTTTGCCTTTGATCCAGAGAAACCCATGATGATTGACGACCTTTGCCATGTCGAGCCAATCTAAATATTCTTGTTTCTCCAAGAGCCATCGGCAGGTCTTAGCGTGAGCAGCTTTGATTGTCGCCTGTCGACTCTCTATCTGTTCAAATCGCAATGCATCCATGACACACCTGCGATGGTCGACGCCGCCGGATGTTTGCTTCTTTGTTGTTTCGCGAGCTACCCTGGGCCCTGTGGCGTTGATCACCGACAATAGCTCTTTGGCGTAAGCAGCTGCCGTGGCGGCTGCGTATCCCTGCCATTGCTTGTTCTTATGCGAATCAGCATAGTCTGAAATCCCTCGTATCACCAGGCAAGGGAAGCTATCCATCAGCCCGGCGGCTTCCATCTCAAAACACAATATATTCAGCTTTGCAGCCAGTCGGTCACGGGTGCCTGCATGCTTGATCACCTGGTTTCCGGAAGCGATCAAGCCGTAATGAACAACCGGCTGGGTGTCCTGACGTTCTGGACGCAGGATCAAGTTGTTTGCATCGCAGTTTACGCATGTGCGCTGGGAAGGATCATGTTCATAGTTTGCACGGAACAGCCTGTCCGGCTCGCCTTCGGGACGAGTGAATTCTCGCAGCATTGCAGGGCGGTGGGCCAGCATCTGAGCCAGGAGTGCTGCAATCTGATTCCCGCTGCAATAGTGGTCGGCTCGGAGCTTTGTGACTGCGGCCAAGAGGGATGGAGAAGGCTTGCTCAGTGTGCCCGTCCTCTCAAAGTATCCCTCCTGGATGGTCTTTCCGTAGTCGTACTGTATCACACCCTCACATCCCGGTGTTGGAACGCTGACGACGACATCACCAAGCCTCACATCGTTGGATTCTGATGGTACACCTCCGCCGATCCCCACCATAAAAAGATGCCGGATGGAGACAAAGGTAAAGAACATGGAGCTCGCAACTGTCGCAGCCGAGGTAGTGCCATAGGTGCCGGCGGGGAGACAGGCGATCACCACATTGTGCCCACTGATCGCTCCCAGGGTGTAAGCATTTTTGTCGTTCGAGTGGGTTTCGAGGATCGGGTGAATCTCGTCAAGCATTGCTTTGGCAGCAGCAGCTTCAAGGGCAAGAGCGCAGACCCAACCAGTCGTGTAATCATCATGACTGTGTGGATGGCCATCCTCCGTGTAGAATTTCCGTCTCTTGGTGGGATTGTGAGGGAATTCGGTGGAGTCGCTCATGTCGACAGAAGGATATAGAAGAATTCCGAGATCAGCAGGAAGATACTGATTCGACTAGTCATTGAGAAGAATGACTAGAGACAACCACAGCATCGAGCTGTCAGCCTGGCCGAGCCCCCCGCTCGAGCTAGTCCCGCGAGGCTGCATTGCAAGGCATCAGAGGCCTATTCTGGCCTGGTGATCCTAGGGGTCAACCTGACCAGGAGATGGAGGGACATACGCGGGGAACTGAAGATTAAACAGATTAAAATCATTCCGAGGGAATCGTTGAGATGGTTTTTTGTTGTCAGCTTCAACGTGGGGTGGAGGAAATAATCAGTAGTTAATCGGACGGAGAAGGAAAGCAGCTGAGAGGGGAAGCCTCCCAAGTTGACGCCTGAGGCAACTGCTTAAGGCAACCGCTTGAGGCAACCACCTGCGGCCTGAACTGACTGTGGCCTGAGGCAGAATTGCTCCTGGCTGTGCGGGATGGATGCACATTATGTCGGTTCTCCCTCCATCTTCTCATTGTTCTTACAACATCGATAGCTTCCAATACCTTGATGATAGCCTCCTTTTTTCTTCCGTCTCCCAAGAGCTTTGTCTTGTGCTCTGTGCTACACATAGTCAGAGCCACTTTCCCTCACTCAAACTACCTTCATTTTTTCCGTTGTGAGAATATATATCTCCGTGAACCGAGCCACATCTCTAGGCAAATCTCTGGTCTTGGTATGAGGAAACATTACCAAGCTACAAGCTGGATTCTATTAATCCACTTTTCAAAAGGAACCGAATCTGATAGACCCCGATCCTTCGAAATGTCACACGAACACCGTGCAATAGGTCACGCTCAGAACTGTTTTATGCGAAGGCTGGGAGAACGGGTACAGAGGCTGTCACCACACCTCAATCAGATGAGCTTGATCACGGCAACTGTTGTCGCTTTGCCCGAGACCAATGCGAAAAGTTTACACACCAATAGTACGCGTTCGCATGCGTCGGACTTCTTCTGCCCAAGGACAAGACCCCCAATCTTTAAAATTGGTGCAATGCAAACAACCGTTCGATGATTCGCCGCGCCAATGCAGCGCATCGCCCTCTTTCGATCCACTACAATGCAGATGGACAATCACGGACAAATCAAAAACTGCAGTTGCCGACAGTTCAGGGGCAAATACACGATAGCCGGATTTAATCAACGGAATTACAGGGAAGACAGCTCGTGACAACTGCGAGGAGCCTAGCATATGAAACTACATTTCAATAGTTAGCGGCGACACTACGGTAGAGCTGTGAAAAATCTATCCTGCAATGGCAGGCCGGCTCGAATACTCTTTCCCGGATAAACCATGTTTTCATTGAACAAGAACCTGGATGGAACATGATTCATGAGATTCTAGCATCAAACATCGATTACGTGGGGCCTTCCCTAGATGGATGTTTTTCCAAGCTTGCAAGATGATTGTGTGGCGCTAACCACGTCTGCACTTGAAACCAGCCACTTTCCAAGTCGACGAAGCCTGGAGTTCAGCCCAAAATGACGAGAGAGTCACCTCGAAGACTGCGAGAATCGCGACCCTGACACGAAGCAGTGCGCGACAAGGGGCTTAGAGATGATGCAGATAACCCTCTTTATCTTACTACAGAAGTCCTCTCGTTCAAAATTGCACAAAGTGGAGAAGCCAGGGATGCAATGAGTCCGGACACATTCCGAGCGGCGGAATGAACTCGACCGGGCCGACCAAGGCCTAGAACCCCCGATGTAACCCCATTAGCCCTGCACGCAGTCAGGAGCATCTTATGCCTGCTCATTTTGCAAAGATAGCGAGGATATTATCAAGTCAACATTATTGGCACCCGCCGAATCTCTATCAGCGAACGGCATGGCGATGAGGTCATTGCCTCGTCGACTGAGCGGGTCCCAGATAGGGGGCAGGACAACAAGACTCCGACAGCGATAGCCGTGATACGGGGATGGTTAGTCTGGTGAGACGTTGCCAATGCCGTCACTGACCAACTGCAGCCTGCGCAGAGCGAAGATCCTTGCCCAATGGGTGGCATTAGCCAAGTTAGCGTCAGTAATTCCCCAGACGGGTGCAATTCCCCCGCATTTACGGCTATTGACCTGGGGCCAAGATCGACTCGGCCTGCCGATTACGGCGATAGCGCCCGCTCCCCAATGACTTCACAGTCTGGGGTATAAATACCCACTCCAGACTCAGTGGGGAAAGCAGAATCAAGGTCTTCTCTCCAGACCAAAGCCTTTGTCTTTCATTCTCTCTAATTCCCATTTTTCATTTTCCTAGCTGGGTTAACATCATGTCTCGAGACAGTGATACCTACAGCGCCAAAGCGGATTCTATCGCGAAGGACAGTCTCGATGCCAAACTCGACACCAAGCACATCGAGGTTGCAGAATCCACTCCAGGATCAGATCCGAATGGGCTCGCAACCAGTGTCGCCGACATCCCAATTACCTGGTTTGTATGGCTCGTGGCATTCACAGCTTCAATTGCTGGGATGCTCTTCGGCTACGACACTGGTATCATCTCCGGGGTACTTGTCGTTCTTCACGATGACTTGAACGGTCGGCCGACTACCAGTTCCGAGCAAGAGATGATCACGTCGCTTTGCTCAGGAGGAGCGTTTATTGGCGCCATCTTCGCCGGAAATACTGCTGACCGCGTAGGTCTTCCCGTTCTCTGAACACAGGAGTTCGTAAACGCTAACAGCCAACAGTGGGGCCGCAAAATGGCCATCTATCTCGGCTGCGTGCTATTCGTCGTAGGCTCAGTCCTACAAGCAGCCGCGTACACGATTGCCCAGATGGCAGTGGGCCGGGTAGTTGTTGGCCTGGGAGTGGGGTCCGCCGCGATGGTAGTCCCGCTCTACATCGCAGAAATCGCCCCCGCGCGCGCTCGCGGTCGCCTTATCGGACTCAACAATATGTCCATCACTGGTGGTCAAGTGATCTCGTACGCCGTCGGTGCGGCCTTCAACAATGTCAACCATGGTTGGCGTTACATGGTGGGCCTGGGTGCCGTGCCCGCCATCATCCTCGCTGTGCTCATGCCGTTCTGCCCCGAATCGCCCCGTCACTTGGTCTACCACGGACGGTTTGAGGAGTCGCGCGCCGTGCTCCGCCGCGTCTACGGCGCCACCGCTACGGAAGCTCAGATTGATGCCCAAGTCGACTCCATCCGCATCGCCTGCGACGAAGCGCGCGAGCTGGCCGAAACCGGCAGCGGATGGTCCAAGATCGTGCAGCTGCACACGGTCCCGCGCAACCTGCGCGCGCTGATCAGCGCCTGCGGATTGATGGTGATCTCGCAGATGTCCGGCTTCAACGCACTCATGTACTATTCGTCCACCCTCTTCGCACTGGTTGGCTTCGACAACTCCACCGCCGTTGGACTCGTCGTCGCCGGCACCAACTTCATCATGACGGGAGTGAACATGTTTGTTGTTGACACGATGGGCCGCCGGCGACTGCTTCTCTCCACGGTCTGGGGCATGTCAGTTGGACTCGTGGCTGTAGCCGTCGCCTTCCACTTCATTCCGCTCGACATGGAGACCATGCAACCCATCGGCAGCGGGGTGGGTCCCGCAGCGATCGTCGTGCTTGTCTTCATCATCTGGTTCGTCATCTTCTACGGCGTCTCCGTAGGCAACACTGCATGGATGAGCACCGACTTCTTTGCCCTCGAGGTCCGTGCCATGGGCACGATGTGGATGACCTGCTCCAATTGGGGCAGCAACGTCATCGTCTCCAGCACTTTCCTCTCCATGGCCAAGGCGATGACCCCCTCCGGCGCCTTCGGGTTCTACGCGGCTATTTGCGGAATCGCCTACGTCTGGATCTACTTCTTCTACCCCGAGGTATCTGGGCTGGTGCTGGAGGAGGTCCAGGAGGTCTTCGAGCATGGCTTCGGGGTCAAGTATGCGAGACAATTGCGGAAGGAGCGCAAGGATATCATTGAGGAGAGGCTGAAGAGTGCGGATCGACCGGTTCCGATGGGACATTGAGCTAACTTATCATGTACTGTACATGAATTCTCAGACACGGATGATGAAAGTCACTCCGGAAGTGAGGGACGGTGTATGTAGACTTTTATGAGAAATGACACTTTCTATTTTTCAATTTCATTTTTCAATCTGATTCGGAGAGTACTTTCCCGTAGAACCTAATAGATCCACCCTTGCCCCTTGAATAGCCGCGCTTCCTAGCCTGTAAAATGGGTTGTTGCAAATTAGCACAAGTAGCTTGCCGTACCTGTAATCAATCCCGCCACCGTCGGCATCCAAACTCTAGACACGGAACTCAGGTCCCGAGGCCTAGAAGTCATTTGCCGCATGAGAGCGACAGCAGGATATTGTAGGCGGTTGAAACGGATCATCATACCGAAATGATTACCGACTATCTGAGCTACAAAGTTAAACACCGACACCGCGAGGGCATCGGAATTCCGAAACCGAAAGCTCCAGTAAGAATTTCATTGAATTGCAAATAAAAACATCACAATGTCAGCATCATCATGTGGAAAATCTCATCCTCAACCATCAAAACCCATTTCCTCAAACCGCCGATGTGGTTGCCCGATACCAGAAACTACAATTCCTCCATATGTCTCGCAACCGGGTGAACTGGAAACTTCTTCGTATCGACCTTGGGATTAGTGCCACCGGCAAGGTAGCGCACGAGCGTGTCGTAGAGATCCTGGGAGGTTGCGGAGCAAGGCATCAGACCGGACATAGAGATCCGGATCTTTTGGCCGTCAAAGATTGCCATGAGGACGCGCACGTGGGAAGGGGGCATGAACGAGAAGACCATCACCTGTTTAAAAAAAGGCAGACGTGTTACCAAGACTGGAATCAGAGACTGACCAAAGGAGACAGAATGATAAGTTTAAGAAGGAAGGGTAAGAGGGAAAACCTTACTGGCATAATGACATGATCAAGAAAAGACTCGACGCGCAGACGTGAGTGCATAGCCGCGAGTATGACTAGCAGCTCAGACCGGAGCAGATCATCGTCTTTCTCTGGACGAACCGCATTGCTTAGGATGACCTTCACGTGGGGGTGTTTCGAGTTCACGAATATGTCGTTGGCCGCATATAGGCCGCGTCCTGACCGAACCTCGCGGTCGGGAAATCCATCAATGTGGAAGTTTCTACCCGTATGAATTAGTTTCTTTGATGGAATTCTGAGTCTTTGTGTGCGATTTGCGAGGGACTCACGTTTCTGACCTCCATTTGGTTGCGAAACGCAATGTGGTGTCCCCGTACTCCGGGTCGAGATCCTTGCGACTGATGCTCATTTCATAACGAAAGCGTGCGGCTAGGCTTGTCGCGCGTCCCTCTGGGTCCCTGAGTATGCCATTGCGGTAAGGGGAGTAGTTAGGTGCGAGGGTTTTTTGATATAGGTTTAGGTGGTCTTCGGTTTCCTTGTCAACGATTCTTGGGTGTTTTTCATGGACATCCATGGGAAGCGGGACGAAGTAGGCAGCAGGATCGAGACAGGAGGTTTTGTCGGGCTTTCTGGAATCGAGAGGATCAAAACTTGTTATTTCGACATTCCAGAGACTCATTTCGCCCCGTGTGAACGAGTCTGAGGCGGCATCCTCGGCTCTTCTGTAGACTTTCCAGAGCACTAGAAGAACCCAATCCGAGTCGGCGGCTTCCTTAGAATCTTCCTGTACGCCAGAGTGCTGGGCACGAGCACGCGAGAGAGTGAGGCGCGAGAAGGTTCGACGCAAGAAGGAAGCCATGATGAAAAGTCAACTGAATTAGAGCTATGAAGAAGGCGTGATAGATCTCCGAGTGTTTTCCTCACACCGAGTCAAACAAGACACACAGGCTTTTGCAAAGGCTAGGCAAAAGGGTACGAAGATACTGGGAACCAGATGTGTGTTATAAGGAGAGGAAAGAGTCTGGCTTCTGGTGAGTTGTGAGAAAGGTGAACCGGGTGTGTTATAACCCTGATGTCAGCGGCCGGGCTTTGGTTTTGACTCACCCTGCTGTCACATGATTCTCAACCAGAGCTCTTCACTCCACTGCCCAAGTAAATATGCCAGCAGCTCAGCGCTCACATTTCAGGAGCCTAGCCTGGAAGTGGATGATGACAAGTTAGGTATAACTCATGTAGCGCTTCGATGTCTTATGGGAGGAGCGTGCAGGTGCTTCCTCGAATATGGGTGACTGTGGGCTGCTTTTGAATTTCCTTCGTTTAGAACACAGTCATAGTCTTCCTGGTGCAGTGCTTTTGATAAGGTAGTTGCGAGGTAGAGCAAATGCTATTTCCAGCGTCCATAAGATCCGGTTGCTGGATTCTAATCACGAACGCGATAGACCTTGCGCATACCTCTCTCGATGCACATTCTCTGTTTCTGATCTCATAACTGTCAATTTCATGAGCCCAAATCTCACCTTCCACGCACACGGTGAGGTTTCATCCTGAATAAGAGACGGTGGGTGTACAGCTTGATTCGCTCAGAGTCGCAATTTGGAGCTAACACATCTGCAACTACTGTCGGACCTGAAGTCATTACTCATCTCTCACCTCGGGGCTCATGCAACATCACATAGCTTGAACGCGACGCGAGCTAGCCAGTGTTACTCCGACCCTGGCGGGTCTGCTCTCACTCTCTTTCTCAACTCTCCTCAAAGCTACTGTTGATCTTCACCTCCAGTCCTGAATATCGCTTTCCTCCAAGTTCTTGCTCGTTCTCCAAATCTCTTGTCAAGCGCGACACTGCAGCCATGTCGCGCTTCATCCCGAACTCCAAGAAGGCGAAGCACGAGAAGTCTGAGGAAGAGAAGCCAGAGAAACAGAAGTCCAAGAAACCTTCATACGCTGATTCTTTTACGGGGAGCGTCTTCATTGCAGCAAACAAAGATGACTTGCTTAGCATCCTCCGAACCAACAAGCTGAGTGGGAAGAGTTTACACGATCTCATAAAGATGAGATCAGGATCTAAGGTCCTGAAAAAACAGTTCGTTCTCTTTCGTTCAGTATGGATTAATTCTGTGCCACCCGAAGACTCGTTAGCAAAAATGACTCGCTACGACCTGGGAGGCGCTCTGGAGCAAGCCTTCAATCTCGTAGACGGGTCACAGGAGGTTGAAAGATATCTTGCCTTGCTCAGGCATCCGCATCTTGTCCCTGATTTGGGAGAAGTTGACCCACAATGGGCAGGTTCTTGGATGCCTGTGTTGAGATTTCACGCCACGTGCGTGGCTTTCTCTCGCAAGAAAGACGATACGCGTGTGGTACCAGTTCGTCTAGCTAGGCATCAAGGTCTCTCAAGCCCCTTGAAGAGGAGAGCGGAAGGTAAGCATTAGTTAATGTCAAAGCTTGCCACTGTGACTAACACTATAGAAAGATACAGCTCGCCACCTCACCGAAGCCGGCCTTCCTGACGATGACGAGGACCCCACAGGAGATGAATCGATAGTTAACACCGCACTTGTCCTCTTTCTTAATGCTGCCGCTAGCCTTGTACGATCCTCACAATGCGAGTTCACCATGGTCCGCGTCCCGTTCACCGCCAAGTTTAACCACGCAACATTTAGAGCCCTGACCGACGGGGCTCTTTGGGTCCGAAGTACTGAAGCTATCCGTGGCATAATTGAAGTCAAGAAGGCTCAGCGATCAAAGATCGGCGCTAGAGTTACTATGCAAGAAGCTGCAGAGTTGGTAGGATGGATTATGAATAGTCAGCCATGGGAAGAAGCTTTCTCCGGATAGTAAGTCAGTTAGCTTTCATGGATTGATCATGTCACTAATCAAGGCTTATCTGAATAGTAAATGCCTGATATGCGAGGATGGTGATGAAGTCTGGCTCTCATTCGCCAAACCGACCGAAACCTATGCCGCTTACCTTCGTGATGGCACCGTGGATGAAGACGCGTTGCTTATTGTAGAACGATATGGACCGTATGTAGTGGATCAAGAAGAGGATATGAGAACCCTTCTCTACACAGTTGTCGCGATATACCTTCGAGCTGTCGCCTTCGATAATGTATCCTAGGCCTAGTGTCCGCCCAGGTCTTGAAGAAGACTCCCGATACCGAGTGAATTGATCAAGACGTGAATGTATGCCGTCATCCTTAAGGGACAGCCCTTAGGGCGGGATGCTGTTCAGCTAGTGAAGAGCATGAATCTCGTTTTGTTTTTTTCTATCTTTTCTACTTTGCTTTGAAGAGTAGGCATCTGATTGAAGAAGATCCATAGTACTTAATCATCGAGAAATGACACTTTGATTGTTGAGGCCGGCCATCTGAGCCGGTTAGGATTTGGACGAACAAAGCAATCCTGAGCCACAATATTGATAAAGACAGGATTGAAATGGATGAAGAATGTGTTGATAATATACTGCACATTATCTCTGCTTGATACTTTGTGTGGATTGATGAAAACATAAATCCAATCCGCAGCATACGCTGCTAGTGTGGCAATAATGTATCCTGCCCGATCGTGGCAGAAAAAAAGAGAACTTAGTCTGATTTCATGCCATGGCTTTCAAACCAGGGCACAAAGCTTGACACAGCACGTAGCAGTTCCTTATACGTCCATTGACGAAGACTCGCTCGTTGCGGTGAAGGTTCGTGGCCTCGTACTTTGATGAGCTGAACGATAGCTAGTTGATCATGGTACCGACGAGCAACCGATTCGAACTGGTCGTATATTGTCTGTGAGCGATCTGGTAACTGGCTGCCTGTAATGTCACTTAGACCATCCATAATACCCGGACCAGGCCGAGAGAAAAGCTTGTAACTTCGCAAGACAGTCGGAGCTGATGGGGGAGGTTTTTGCCGCTGTAAAGATGGCGTATAAGATCCTGTGGCTTCCAGCGATCAACCATTCCATCGCCGACTGGGGAGAAAAGAATACGGGGTGAATGAAACGTGATATGGTCGGCGTGGTTCCGACATGTGATGCAGACCGGGTGAGTCAATAACATCATCGAGTAGATGAGAAATCAAGGAAGACAAGCAATAAGTACTGGATCAAGACAGGTGAGGCAGGCAGAAAGGTAAAATCAACAACCAAGAAGAGCAGGAAGCAAGTGGCCAGCTCCGTGTTTGTAGCCTTCATACTTCCGCTAGCAAATCTACATAACTGGTGCCTGTGGTCTGTTGACTTGCGTTCTTGGTAGGGACGGTTGACCGTAGATGCATCTAGGCGGCCGACTACAACTCTTCGCCTTCGTGGTCTAATGCTCAATCATGCGTTGTTTTGGTATGCAGGAAGGAAGATGCTGACGACTCAAGCGGATAGTGCTTTCTCTTGATCCATAGCCCCAGGCAAGGTTGACAAAGCTAACCAGCCCAAGGTTCAGGTAGCGACAGAGAGGCCGCAGGAATGATACTAGAAGAAGAGATCGTAGCGTATTTTCGGCCCATAGAAACATAGAAAATGCCGGCCACAATCTGTGCGACCACTGCGGCTTTAGCACCATGATCGTTGAGCTCTTCATTCGTGTAGACGGTTCATGACTTTATGACGCAGGTGGTCTCGATTCCTGCGAATGGTTTTCCGTTTATTTCCTGATGTTTCGGCATAAAGAAGCATACAGAGGACCATTCTAGTCCGCGCGCGAAGAGAACGTGATCGACGCTCACGAAGCTAACCAGCCAGTCAAATGACACGATTTCTCTGGGGCGGAGATTCTGCTCGGCATCCTCATGACGACTAGCTGCATAAGTGGTGCATGGAATTATGGCCAGAACATATGTTCCGGTAATGCACACCTAAATGGTCATGATCAAGGCGGCCGACGGCGGCGGCCATGAAGGCTGGACGTCAACTAGTATCCGTGCACAGGCCAGGATAATCGGCACAGACATATGCACAACACCTAGAGTGGAGGCCCTTTGTGTCACACCATGCGTGGCCGGCCTAGTTCTGACATAATTGACAATTTATGATCCCCTCAGCCGCGGATCCTTCGCGCCTGAGAGTTGGTAGGCAGATAGAGTTTCCGCCGCATGTTGCATCTCGATGGCGGAGTCATTGCTGACGTTCAATCTAAAGGATTTCTGGGAATGTGGTTATTTGTAGAGCTGGACGTATGTTTCAGTCCTGAAGACACCACTCGGCGAGGTGGGCCTAATGTCGACGACTGTCGTCTGCACTAACCAGGGTTCCCCTCTTTTGCACCTCCACACTTCGTCAACTTCCCCGCTCGGCAAGAGAACAATTACTGCAGAGCTATCGTCAACGGGCATCAAGGCATCGAATAGAACACGTCATAGGAAGTTCTGTGCGATAGCACATCCCTGTCGTGAAACGGCTTTCGGCACGAAGATGCCCACCCACTTCTTCCTGGTGGGCAGTTGGCGGTCGCTTTCGATACAGATTCAGCGCCGGAAAATGTAGTCGACCAGGGAAATGAATTGGCTAATTCAGTATTTTCGTGGCATAAGGAAACGTTATGCAGGCATTGATAAGCATCTGAGTTCCGAATGATTGTTCTCGTGGTGGGGAGGGTGAATGTAGGGGCGTTTGAGTCGAGGATAAATATCATGTCATGTTCAACATGTCTACGCAACATCTCGCAGTCTCCCATTCCTGACATGGAAGCTAAAGCTGCTTGAATCGAGGGCGTATTTGATCTTAAACTGCTCTTCTGGCGACCGAGATATTGGGAAGCAATGGCTGTTTACGACCTGCACCATGCTTTCTATGAGCATCATCATTTTCTCCTCGCATTCGGAGTGGTGAGTAACGAGCATTGACGCGATGCATGTCGCTTTGGATTACTGATGGTCCATGGCCCAATATAGGTTCTATTGGCAGTAGTAGTGAACGGCTGCTACGAACTCCTGTTCAGCCCGCTGAGGAAATACCCTGGTCCGAGATTGGCTGCGGTCACCTACTTACTTTCGGCGTATCACACTGCAAAGGGCGACCATATTCTCTGGCTACAGAGCTTGCACCGTACCTACGGCGACGCTGTTCGGTTCTCTCCGGATGAGCTGAGCTTCACATCGGCGCAGGCCTGGCGGGACATTTATGGCCATGCTAGTGGCGGCAGGAAAAGCACCGAAAAGGACCACCGCTTTTTCGGACCGACCCCGAATGGTACGCCGGATATCATCCGTGCCAACGCGCACGACCACTCGCGCTTCAGACGGAATTTCTCCCATGCGTTTTCGGACAAGGCGCTCCGAGAGCAACAGCCCCTGATCGCACAGTATGCGGATATGCTTGTCGCGAAGCTGCAGGAGAGTGTCCAGGAGAGCCCGGCAGCCAAGGTTGAGATGGTCCGCATGTATAACCTGACCACTTTCGATATCATGGGCGATCTGACCTTTGGAGATCCTTTGAACCTGCTCAAAGGCACCGGGTATATGGAGTGGGTAGGCGGAATCTTCGCCAGTGTGAAGATGCTCTGTCTCCTGCGCGTGAGCCGTTACTACTCCTGGCTCACTGCGATTATGGCTCTTGTTGTTCCCCGCTCCCTACGGGAAAAGGCCCGGGCGCACTACAAAGCTTGCAAAGCACGGGTTGATTGGCGGGTCAATCAAACCCTGGACAAGCCGGATATCTGGGGACTTGTTATGGAGCAGAAAGAGTCCCTGCAGCTCAGCCGCGACGAGATGTACTCCAACTCTCAGCTGTTTATGGTGGCTGGGACTGAGACGACTGCCACAGCGCTAAGCGGCCTCACGTATCAGTTGCTGAGGCACCCGGAGAAGATGCAGAAGATCACGCAGGAGATTCGTGAGGCATTCAAAGACGAGGAGATTGGGATGACCCGCCTTGCGCATCTGAAGTATTTGAACGCGTGCATCGAGGAAGGATTGCGGGTTTATCCACCCGTACCTGTTGGCGCCGCTCGTCGGGTGCCCGAGGGAGGAATGACGGTGTGCGGAGACTTTATCCCTGCAAACGCAAGTGATTCCATCCAACTCCTTGTCCTAGCGAGCAGAAGCTTACCATGCGATAGATTTCACTCTCTGTGCACCACTGGGCGACATACCGTAGCCCCGAAAACTTCAGACGACCGAACGAGTTCGTCCCGGAGCGATGGACTAACGATCCAGAATTTGCCAACGACAATAAGGCTGCCTTCCAACCATTTTCCTATGGGCCACGCAACTGTTTGGGCAAGAAGTACGTACCGTCGCTACTTTAGACTACTCTGCAGTGTCTGTAGCACGGTGGCTGACATCAGGAATAGTTTGGCTTATCACGAGATGCGGATTATTCTGGCGAAGGTGCTATACCACTTCGACTTGTCACTAGCGCCAGAGTCGGTGGATTGGGATAAGCAGAAGGTGTTCTCGCTGTGGGAGAAGAAGCCACTGATGGTGAGGCTGCATCCGCGGGTCTAGGCCTGGGGCCGGGCGCGCGTGCCACCGTGAAAAGCTCTGGATAATTTCCGGCCGGCGCAGTACCAAGGTTATGATCGTTTTAGTATTGTGTATCTCATTTTGGGTATGAAAAAGCCATCAATAACTTCTCGTGCTTCCTCGAGTGAGACAGGAACGTAGGAGAGCGTAGGAAAGAATTAGTGGACGCCTCGAAAGCTGCACTGGTACTCTCAGCGCAACGCATCAGTAACTTGTACGTACGGTAGCAAGGCCCATGCGGGATGATGCTTACCCACGTTCCACTGGCCGAGTCATCCATGGATCTAATCCATATGAGCATCTTTGAGCCGCTTGAATTGAGTCTCCTTAGACTAACAGTTGTGTGCAACTGGAAGTAAACGGCAGGCAGTCAGTTCAGTCACTGTGCTCTCGGAGCTGGATCTCCGGGCGGTGAGGCGGGCTCAGTTGGGATATTTAGAAACTCGGCGCAATCTCGGGCCGAAGTGGTCATGCTTCAATATCGCCTGGTACGGACTAGGCTAGGCTAGGCTAGGCTAGGTAAGGTAAGGGAAAGAAGAGTTCACATTTTCAGCCTCAGGCAGAGAGGCTCCTTTGAGTATCCCCACACCGGAACAAATTCCCTTATTCTTTATTAGGGTTGAGACAGTGCAGTAGGGGAGGTACCTAGTGACAATCCACCTAATTCTCAAGCTACTGTGTGGAAACCACTTACCTTAGCGTCTATTGTGTATTCCAACTGCACTTGGACAACAAAAGTACCTGATCGCCTACACAGGTACGGTCCCTGCTCGAGACTG